TTGATTTGTTCAACATAGTGTTAGTGTGTTTTTTTTTGGTTGCACATGTCAATGCCAAATGTCGATCCAAAAAAAAAGGAAAAAAAACTTTTTGGGTTGGTCCTTTTTTTTCTGTCTGTATAATTTTTTTTTGCTGGAAATTTTCTCTGAATAAATATTTTTTCTGATTGATATGCATCATTGGATTGTCGTTTGTTGTTGGAATATTTTCACACACACACACACACACTCGAAAATTTATGAATTTTTGAATAAACGAAAATTATAATAATTTTCACAAATATTCAACCATAAAATGTTCACATTTTTTTTTGTCTCTACATCACATGATGATTATTTATTCAGCAATTTGATCCATAGTTTATCCTTGTGATTTCCGTAAAGTTTTTTTTATCTCTGTCGTTCTTTTTTTTCTGGGTAAATTAATATCTATGGTAAAAAAAAATTTGATCATTTTGTGTGTGTGTGTCTGTGTGTAATCCATGAAATGAATGTTTAGCTAAATGTTCATGCTGTGTGTGTGTATGTATGTTCATTTGTAGATGATTGTGATTGATGTGTCCCATGTTTATATATGCTAATATGATGTTTTGGCTGGTAGAAAACTATTAAACTAAAAGGCTTTATTTGCCTGTATATCGATTTAATTATCGATGAACAAAAAAAAAAAAAAAAAAAAAAAAAAAATACTATGCTGTACTACCAGCTAGTGAAATACGATCAAACAAACAAAAAAAAAAATGTGATATAATTTGTACATACAACAACAACAACAACAACAACAAAAACACATCGAAAGATAAAATGGAAATCTTTTTACCAGAAAAACGAAAAAACCGAAATGCGAATCATCATGAAATGTTTTTTTTTTTTTTTTTGATTGATCGATGATGATTATTTGTACCCAACCCTAACCAAAGAATAACCATAACAACGCAACAATCACCAAACGACGACCAGAACTCAAAACAAAACAAAACAGCAAAAAAAAAAATGAACGGAAAAACCAGAAAAAAAACGAACGAACTAATAACATTTGAGTAGTTTCATATTATAGATATCTATGGTCATTTAGTTGGTCATTCAATTCATTTTGGAATGTTGTTATTTTTCAAAAAAAAAAAAAAAAAAAAAAAAATCTTATCATAATGATAATGACATTGTGTTTGAGACATTTTTGCCGAAAAAATTCATACAAAATCTTTTGGTTTTTGTTATACAAGATCGATGAACGATGGATCCGTTCTGTTATATAAACTAGATAGAGATAGAGGATAGACCACTTGATTGATTGATCACTAAAGTTTGAACGCCACTATTTGTGTGTGTGTGTGTGTGTGTGTGGCTAGAACGGAAATGTACATGTAGCCAAATACCGTATACATGCATAGATAGATGGATTTTTTCGTCTTTTTTTTTGAAAATGAATTACCCGTAACGTATTGTGTGTGTGTGTGTGAGAGAGAGAGTATAATATGATATTCCGCAAAAACACTATTTTATAAAACAAATGATAATAAGCTCGAAAATTTGATCCATATCGATCGTGAATGTTGTTGATGATGATGATGATGATGATGAGCAGCATCAAATACATCATTCTAATGTGACGATCCCAAGTTCTGTGTGTGTAGAACAAAACAAAAAAAAAAATTTCAATTTTTTCAAATGAAAAAAATGTTAATGTCAAAGTCAAAGTCAAATTCAAATTCAAAAAAAAAAATCAAGTGATATCAATATCCTGGTCATGGTCATGGCCATCATCATCATTGATATTAATATCTAGAGGTCACATACATACAATATACACACACACACACACACGCGTGAATATAAGTTTTATGGATCTAAAATAAGTTCATGACCTCATGATGGAAATATTTCTATTTTTTTTCACTAATATTTCCATCATCATCATCATCATCATAAAGATAGATCGATTTTGTGTTCCACCGGATGGGCAATATTGATGAATGAATGAAAAGGATGGATAGATGGATGGGGAAAGAGAATTTTTTCATCATCATCATCATCATCGTCATCATTTTGTATTGATTAATGATTTTCTTTTTTTTTTTTTAAAGTTTAATTTGTTATTTTTTTTTGAATGAATTTGAAATGAAAAAAAAAATTTCAATTTCAATGTCAATTCATTGTGTGTGTGTGTGTGTTTGTCCGACCACTGCATGTGTCATTTGAATTGGTAGTGGTGGTGGTGGTGGTGGTGGTGATGGTGTTGGTGACAATATCCCAACCTCAACGAATGTGATGTCACAGAATTATTGTGTGTTGTGTTGTGTTGTTGTTGTTGTTATTGGCACATAGTGAACAAACTGGGTATGATTCAATTTAAAAAATTTTAATTTTAAATTTAATTTATTTTTTTGTGTGTGTGTGTATCTGTGTTTGCGCAAGATATCGTCGTCGTCTGGTATCTGACACGAGGACATACAAAAAAAAAAGAGAGACTGACAGGTTCGACACACACACACACACACTTGAGGCCACCAACACGGTTTTATCATTCAAAACCAATGGATCGATCGATTGATATCTGTGTACCAATAGCGGCCAACCAACCGGCTATTTAGCTATTTGGAACAATGAATTGTTTTTTTTTGTTTGCTTGCTGGTAGTTTTTTTTAGCCCTAACCAAAAAAAAAAAAAAAAAAAAATGGAATGGAATGGAATAGAATTTGAAATGATGAAAAAAAATGAAGAATTTAATTTTTAAAATTGAAAAAAAATTTTTATTTTTATCAGTGAAAAAAAAATCCGTGATTCACATTATTATTGTTAGTGTTTCTCTCTCTCTCTCTGGCTCGTTTTTTTTTGGTGCGGTCATCATCATCATCCACAATAATCCACTGAGATCTTGCTGCTTACTTTTTCTATCATAGATAAATAGATCCAATTATCACATGGAACAATTTGCACGTTTTTTGTTTGTTGCTTTTTCAATAAAACGTGTCATCATCATCAATTGGATAACATTTTGGACAATTGACGAATGTGAATGGCCATGGATGAAAATGGTGATTTTTTTTTGTTCATTTCATTTCATTTGATTGATTGATTGATTTTAAAGCCGATTTTGGTGGTATGGTTTCACGCCAATACTGTCAAATTGGTTTCACTGATTTTGGAAAAGATTTTTTTCAGTTTAAATTCAACTTTTAAATGAATTTCAAATCACGTACTTCCATTTTTCGTTCGTTGGTAACAAATTAATTTTCAATTATTTTTTTTTCTGTTGTAAATCATTTTCTCTGGTTTTAATCAACAACAAACTGGATCAAATCAAATCAAATGATCGGATTGCAAATTTTCTACCGGAAATGGACCACACTTTCACAAACACACACACACACTGTCGGTGGTCAATGTATTTCCATTTCCATTCAACCATGATGAATGAATGGATCCAATTCAGTTAGTTGGTTACCACATTTACACACAATACATATATTCAATGATGATGATGATGATGATTTGACTTCTATTGACTTTATGTTTATGTTATACTTGTTAAACCATTCATTCATTCATTCATTCCATTTACTACCATTAATAATGGCACCCTTTCTTGATTCAATTTATACTTGTCGTCATCAACATCATCATCATTAACGTTATGCACATACAAACACACACACACACAGAGAGAGAAAGAGATATATTTCTCATTGCTTTGCATTTATAAAACACCGAAACCAATTAGAATCCATATATACACATTTTGTCTTTTGTGTGCATGTGATGGTGTATGGGGTTAATGTTTTTTTTTTTCTATACACTAAATAGTTAAAGTTGAGTTGAGTGCAAGTTTTTCTTTTTTTTCTTGATACTGGTGTCAAAAAGAAAAATTAACACTTTTGATACTAGTTTCCGTTTTTATTATTTCTTGCTTTATTGTTGTTGTTGTTGTTGATGGAATGTTTTCTGAAATTTTTCTTTATGACCAACCAAAAAAAAAAAAATCAAATGATAATGGATAATGGAACATGAACATTTGTTCCAAATTTCAAATTACAGTCTACATTGAATAGATTACATCGATGAGTCAGAGATTCCACAGAAAAAGAGTTATTTGATCATTTCTATAATAACGATGACATTGACAAGTGACAAGCTTTGCCAGAGAAAAAAAAATAGTGAACCATTTGATTAGCTTTTTCGATGTAGAAATAAGAATATTGTTACTCCTTTTTAATTTCAATGAGAAAAAAAAAGATCAACTGACAGAAGATCTAACTGAAGATTCAATACCAATAATCAAATTATATTTGGAAATATTTTCATTTGTCTTGTCTGTTCTATTTCCATCAAAATTCATGGTTGTCACAAATTTTCATACCATGAGATTCACAACGGTTGATAACCCTTGTGAATGTTTTTTTTTAAATTGATTTTCTACTTACTTATCGTTGTGTATGTTATATGCAAATATTTACTCAGAGAGAAGAAAAAAAAAATTTGATGCATTCATTTTTTGTACTGTATACAATAAAAACATTGAGAACCATTTAACCAAGGAAAATCAAATTACACACACACACTCTATCTATCTCTCCATCCTTTTTGATGTCGTTATTTTTTTATATAATTCTCAAATGTCGCATTAATGTGATGTGTGTGTGTGTGTGTGTGTGTGTGTGTGTGTGTGTGTGTGTGGAAGACCACAGATGTTCGAGTCTAGTTGATAGATATATTATTATGGATGTATAATTTACTTAACTAACATAGAAAGAATCAAATTATTTTCCATTCGGCCATGGAATGTCATTCTTTGTCAAATAATCCTTTTGCAAAATGTTTTTCTTGTTTTTTTTTTCTTCAAATTACCGACCACATCAATCAAGTTTAAATATTTGAAATAGATAGATTTTTTCACATGAACACTGTATGGCCATCTATTGATGATGATGAAAAATATTGTCATTGTTTTACCGGAAAGTTTCTTTAGATTAATTTGAGTTTTAGTTTTGTGTGTTTAGAAAATTTTCCCACCGTCCTTGTGTATATCACGCTCAGGAGGACAAATATATTTTAGATTTTGTATCCGCATTTTTGTATCCAGATCGAAAAGAAAATGGTTCATCTTACAAAAACTCTTCGATGTAAGTCGATGTAATCCACTAATCGATCGATATTTATTCTTGATTATGATTTTTTTTGTCAGTCATTAACAATCCTGGTTTTCGAAAATTCTATTACGGACTCCAAGGATATAATAAATATGGTTTGTAAATAAAGAATGTCAAATGGACAATTGTTTATTATTGATTGATTAATTCACATATAGGATTGTATTATGATGATTTTTATGATTATACTGATGCCGCTCATCTAGAAGCTGTCCGTCGATTACCACCCGATCTTTATGATCAACATACGTATCGTTTAGTTCGTGCATCACAATTGGAAATAACAAAACAATTTCTACCGAAAGAACAATGGCCATCGTATGAAGAGGTAACATCGTTTACATGCTAAATAGAATAGACTTTTAACTAAAAATTTTTGATTTTAAAAAAAAAATCATAGGACATGGATAAAGGTCGATTCCTTACACCATATCTTGATGAAGTAATGAAAGAAAAAAAAGAAAAAGAAGAATGGATCAATTTCTTGTCGAAAGATTGAATTAAAAAATTCAATTTATTAAAAAAAAAAATGTATAGAAAAAGAGACGAGCGAACTATTGAATATATAGAATTCATTTAATCAATAAAAAAAAAAATTTCATTTTCATTCCCGTTTATCTTTATCATCAATTTTCATGTTACGATTTTTAAACATTTTAAAAAGATGATAAACATTGTGCAATAATGGTATCGATATTGGTAAAAATAATGGCAAATAAATGGCATATTTTTGATCATCTGGAAAATAAAGTAATGATAATAATGATGGATCATAGAATGCTTGTTCACTATATGAATAAGCGATCCAACTTTTTTCATATGCTTCAATAATATCACCATTTGAATTCAATAATTCAGCCGCTTTCATTGACATTTCCATTGAATCATGTATGCGACGTGAAATTTTCTCTTCAATAACCATGTTGCTCACTTTATTCAATAATTTTTCAATCGATTCCAATGATTTCAATGTCTCGTGGATATGTTTCTGCACCAATGCATGAACAATGGATTCAATTTCTAATTGTGTAAAAAATTCACCAGATACTTGGCAACGATTTGGTAGATATAAAAATGAACGAATTAATTGTCGGAAACCATTGAAAAGATCTTTTTCATCATTCACAATAAGTATTGATCCACGAAATGGTGTTGATATTAGATTTGATTGATTATTAGTTTGATTATCGAAAAATTTCAACACTGGTAATGATTGTGATCGAACATATAGAACTAAATGATAACTTTTATCATTATCATGTTCTACACGGCTTGTTTCAATTCGATTCAATATGGAATCAATAGATGATATTGGTAATAATCGTTCTTGTTGTTGTTCCGATGTATTGTTTGATGATTTCAATAATTTTGATTGAATAAAATTATCACGTGGAAATACATAATGTAATACCTGTGTAATGAAATTGATACGAAAATATTGACTAAAACTAAAACGATGTGTATAGAAACGTTCCAATAGTTGATCAATTTGTTTGATCCATTTTCGATGACGTTCTTTACGTTCGTTTAGATTTAAATTTTTATCCACATGATCATCTTCATAAATGATGTCGAATAGAAAATCAAAATCTCTAGCCATCAATAGAACAATATTTTGTTCTTGTTTATCAGCTTGATGTGAATAAAAACGTGTGATGAGCATTTGAACCTGATGAACATATTGATTGATTTGTTCGCCCAAACATTCGACAATATCTACCTGACCACAGATATTATCCATATGATTTAGATCAATAAAATAGGATCGATATCTGCCGGCATTTATAAATCGATCTGTATGAATATTACTAGGTAGAACATAAAACATAATTGAATTGATTGATTGAATATTATCGGCTGATAGCAGTTGATCCAATTTATTCAATTCAAACGAATCTTGATTCCGTATCGATTTGAATGCCATTAATTCGTTATTGAATGCTGATCGTACTGTCCATTCTTGACGAAATGAAAGACTATTATCAAAGCTAATTCTTGTATGATGATTTGCATGCAGATAATTGCGGAGATCAATATTTTGGAATGATTCATCAGATTCATTCAGATGAATTATTGATATTTTATAATAATGTGTCAATGTTTGTGATCGTACCATTAGCCATGAAATATCTGGTAATGGCCATCGTTCGGGTGTTGTTGTACGATACCAAATCGGTAATCCAATCAAAAACAATACGGACAAATAGAATATGGATGCAATCAAAGTGGAACGATTCGATTGTTTTTTCGATTTTTCTACACAATCTTTAACGATTCTTTCGAATTCTCGTTCCAATACATCATTATTTTGGTCATCATTGGCCATGTTGATTTAAAAACAATTTATCATCAAACAAATGATAATTCATGCAAAGAGTTATGAGAAACTTTCCGGCAAAATGTTAGCCGGTTAGTAAAAAAAAACATTCTCGAAAATGATTGGAGATTTATTTAATTTTTTAAAAATTCATACATTTACAATCTTGATTTAAATATTTTTTTATACCATAAATAGGAAAAAATACCGGTTAAACTATACCAGGTTATTATATAAGATAAATGTTCATTACGAAGATTGATACGAGTTTGTCCACCAATAGGGCTTACATCGAATTGTCGTTGTTCATGATCACCATTTTCACAGATTAATTTCAATGGATGTGTTTCAAATGCATCCAAATAAATTGGTGTCGTTTCTAATTTTTCCGACATTTTTTCAATATCACGTCGTGTCCAATATCCTTGTGTATATTCTTGTTTCGCTGTAAATGGTTCACGCTGAATGAATGAAAGAAAAAAATTTACTGCAGGAAGAAAAAACCTAATTATTGAACAAACCTTTTCAGTTTTTCTAATGACACCGATTAATTCGAATTCTTCTTGTGGACTAAGATGAACTTTATGATTTTTAAGTATCAAATTAATTTTATCCATTTTTTCACGAGTAATCCATCCAAAATTGACCAATATTCGCAATGGATTCATATCGAATCTTTTGTCTGTGATTACAAACGGTAACACTAACTGAGCTCCTAAACCTTGACCACTTCCTTTCGATATTAATGATCCTTGATTTGTGGATTCATCTCTTTGGATGATTGACCTAGGAAAAATGAATTGTGGTGCCGATAATCGATCAATATGTCCTTGAATTTTCACTTTTACATATTCCATATCATTTATCATATCTAATTGATCGGGAAAATCAACAGGATCATTATTAATGATTGATTCTAATTTTGCAATCAGATCAAGTTTCCATCGTAATCTATAGATTTGCCATGTTCCCAAACAGAATGTTGCAACTGGAAGTAACTATATCGAGATGATTGATTAATGATTATGGTAATAGATAAAATGACTTACAGCAAATAGATAACCAACTGGCGATCTTGGTTTCTGATATTGTGATGATGATTTCACTGCCGATTCTCCAGCAATATTAATCGAACGTAACTGAATACGTAATTTATTCGAATGATTGGAATTAATTGGTGTTAATTTCAAACAAAATTTCAATGTATTAATCCGAGAATTAAACGAAATTCGATTCGATATGGCAAACATTTTTGAAACAAAAAAAAAAAAAACACAATCATCAATCCGATGATTCACGTGATAAAACACATGATTTTTAGAAAAATAAATAAACAAATTGCGCATGCGTTATAAATCAATCTTTAAATCAGAAATTTCAATTTTTTTTCAAATACAATTCTCAATTTATTTATTCCATTGTTTCACAATCATCACTAAGCATATGATTCATAATAAAACTAGACATTACGGCATTATTAATACCACCTTCATTTGGACTTGTGGTCATTCCATCATCATCACTTGTTGTTGTTGTTGTTGTTGTTGCTGTTGTCGTAAAATTTGGACTTTTACCCATCATCATCATCATTGTTTTTTGTTGTCGATAATTTGATGAATCATTTTTCTTGAATAATGATTCATTACGAATTTGATAGCCAAAATTTTCATTTGTACCATCAAATAATTTATCCAAATCATTAACATGTAATTGAATACGATTTTTAACCGTTTTCAAATAACAGCTACCAAAATGACAAGTTTTCGATTGATGTGATGAAAATGTTTGATTCAATGTACGATGTTGAATATCGGAAATATTTGCATAACCAATACGATAATAATTACAAAGATGTATAAAATGTTCACCAAGTTCCAATGAAACATATTGTAATGGTTTATAATCAGATATTAATATAGTACGTTTCATGTCCATATTTTTTAAATAATCAATTTGATTACGATTAAAATCATTATGGAATATACAGAATAGTTGACAGAAACCAATACACAATTGATAATAGATTAAATCATTTTCATTCATATTTGATTTCATTGTTGTTGATGCACTATGATGATGATGATTCGAATGTAGTAGATAGCTGTTCAATGATTGTAGTATAAGTTTCAATAATGAAAATATTGAATTTGTATTGATAAAACGTCCATTTAGAAATAGAGAAATGATAATATTTATACTACTTTGTCGTATACGTATCGGTGTTTGTGTGGTGGATAACAATGTCCAAAGATCATTGACAAGAATATCACAATATGATTCTGATTGTGAACAAATATAAAATATTAGATATTGACAATGTATAGAATTTGATGATAGAATACGTTGAAAAAATATTCTTGTTAATATTTGTATCAATTTATCCCAATGATTGTTTTCATTTTCATTCTGTTGTTGTTGTTGCTGCTGTTGTTCATGTTGACATTTTAGATGATCATCAATCTGATTAAACAATATGCTGAGTATGGAATCAAGAATTTTCAATTTTTTAAATCGTTCATTGTTATTATCATTGTCGACGATCGAAAATGATTCAAGTTCAATTTCAAATACATTCGAATTTTCTTTATTCTGGTTGGCAAATTCATTGAAAAATTGTTCCATATCAATTTCTAATAATTTTATAAATAAAAAATCCATCAAATCGATTGCATTATCAAACGAAAATAGTTCAACAAATTGAATCATATTGAATGCAAAACAAATAAATTCATGTACACTAGAATTATGTATGAATGGATAATGTTTTTTCATCAATCGTACTAGAATAAATTCGAAATTCTTCACATTCGATATCAACGATTGAAATGATTGTTTCAAACATAGGAATAATTCCATTTCTTTTTCATTCACGATCACAGTTTCATTGTTGTTGTCGGTTGATTGGCCTCTTAAAATGAATAGAAAATCATCCAAAAATTTTTCACATCTATTCGGAAATATCTGTACATATTCGGCTATAAAATGAACAAATATTGATGGTTTTAATGATTCTTCCGCATTATCATTATCACCAGTGTTGAACAGATATTTTTGCCATTGTATTTGGAATAATAATTTTTCATATTTAAAATTTGATAAACAAACATTATTCAATAGATTATCGGTTATTTTCGTTACAATTTCATTTATACACAATGGTCGTTGTCCATTGGTTGAACAATACCATTCATCAGAATATTTAATAAAATATTCAAAATGTATTAGAAATTTTTCTTTATTCATTTCGGCAAACAATTTTTCCAGATCAAATTGTTCATCATACGATTTTGTTTTGTTATTCTTATTGTCCATTGTGTTGGCCATTATTAATTGTTATTGTCGTAATTAATTCACATAAAAATGACGAGGAACGTGTTTTTTCTTTGGTAACAAAAAAAAAATCAAACAACGTGGAGATAAATATAAAAAGCGTGTTTTGGATAATAATAAAAACAACAACAAGAAATATTTGAGCAGACAAGATTCATCCATAAATTGAATGCAGACATGCGTATTATCAAAACATGTCCGCATTGCAGAATATCATTGAATTTGATGGATTTTCGTCATTTTCTGGTTCTTTTCTTTCCATTTTTTAATTATGACATCAGTGTTATACATTTACCAACAACAAAAAAACGTTTTGACAACGTTATTTTTGTCATCGAAAAAAAAACAGCTCATATGATGTTGATTCAGCCCTTCCTCCTCATTCTAGTCAACAATATTTTCGAAGATCAAAGATCTCTCTTTTTGAAATTGGTCATGAAAATATGCCAATTTTTTTTTGTCATGATGATCATTTCTATTCGAATTTAATTGTCGATTGAAAATTATCGAAATTTTTTAATACTCATTAACCATGACGACGACAACAACACAACAATGTTGTGTGATAATATTCGAAAATTTTTGTGGCCACATAATATTTACATTGTAGCATAATAATTGTCAACCACCAAAAAAAAAACTCTGAAATACAAATGATGATTAAAATTGTGATTTGTGATCAACGCCATCATTGTGAACAATCAGGGTCACAATCAAAAACAATTCACCATGATGATCATGATCATCACAAAAGCATAATGTGAAATTCCGCCATAACACACTCTCATCATTATCATTGATGTTTTGTTTGTCTTTCAATTTGATTTTGCTCATTATCCATAGAGATTATCTTCAATAATTAGCACCTCATTCTTTTATTTTATTTTATTTTCTATTTCTTTGTTGCCATCATATATTACATATACAAGAAGTAGCAGTAGTAGCAAAAAAAAAAAAAAAAAGATTGTAATTTCGATTTTTCCATTTTGATTTGATTTAATTTGATTTTTTTCGCCGATTCATTGTTGATTGTTTTATATATACTTTATTTAATCATTATCATCATTAACAATTAACCAAACCAAAATATTGCCTTGACACAAAGACACTCAAGATTCCGCCAAAACCCTTTTTTTGTATTCTATTGATACATGTGTGCCATTTTTTTATGATAAAAATCTCATTTTGTAAATTCATAATTTATTCAAAATGTCATCATTCTATTTGCTAATTCATAGTAATATTTTCGGTATCATCTTCATATTCTGGTTGAATATCACTATCAACACTTGTGAGTATCTTTGTGAGTAAAAAAATATCTTTGTCATCATTTTGAATTTTTTTTTTTACATAGCATCAATCGTACAACATCAAGCATACATTAAGCTGATAAAGTTATCAAACAATAATAATTTCATACTATTATTGTCATGTCCAAGCAATGATTATTATGATGATTCCATTATTCATCTGAATTCACTAAATACGGACACGGAACCATTGAATGTATTCACAATCAAATCAGATGGTCATATTGAATCAATTAATAATTTATTACAAACACAACATTTCCATGGAATGATTACAAATTCCAAATGGAATCATGTGATTACAATTTATGCAACCGGTATTATTGCTGTTGTGAAGAAAAAGATCTCTTTGATGATATTTACCGATTCAAATGAATTCTATTTAACACCACGCATTTCTTTTGATGAAAATCATCAAAATAATAATTCAAATCCGCATTTTATCATCATTGATAATCAATTACCGCATCGATTTTTTATACCAAATCTTTTTCCTTTAAATTCTCGTCGACATCGACGTAGTACAAACAATTCATCAATTTATTATTGTGGTATCAAATTAAGAATCAATTATGATTTATTTCAAGAATTCAATGGTGATTTAATTTCCACTGTTCAACATAGCCAATTTGTGCTACGATTTCTTAATCAGATATTTTTTCAAACCAAATGGTCAGAAAATGGATTTGAAAATTCATCAATCGATATGGGAAAATTTGGTGTAGTGCCATGTAAAATAATTATTGAAACTGAACCGCAACAATTTACGATACAATCCAATTGGACATATTCAGACATGGACAAATATATTCGATCCATTTCTGATGGTGATTTTTGCCTATCACATGTATTCACCAATGTGAATCTTTACAATATTAATGGAATGACATATAAATCACGTATTTTCGATGAAAATATTAACGGTGGTATATCAAGTTTTGGTCATTGTGAAAATCCATGGGAAATTTATTGTATCCTAAGTGTTGTACATGAATTCGGTCATAATTTCGGCTCATCACACGATATTGAAAACGAGGATTGTATGCCTGAAGAAGGTGGATCTTATATAATGAGCTTTCCATTTAATGATAAAAAAGGACCGAATAATTTTAAATTTTCACCTTGCTCAAATCGTGCCATTTATCATAATTTAGCAAAGAAAAAAGGACAATTCATTACCATGTATTTAGGTGAGTAGTTTTTATTTTAACTGATTGAATTCAATTATTTGATTTGATTATTAATACTTTTTTTACCAATTAGAAGGTTCTTGTTCTAATAAAAATAAATGTGGTGATGGAATTCTTGAAAAAGGGGAAGAATGTGATGAAGGTCCTAAAGGTGGTCATTGTTGTGATAAAAAATGTCATTTGAAACCTGAAGCCGAATGTAGTAAAAGTCAACCGAATGCTTTATGCTGTAATGATGAATGTAAAATTCGCCAAAAAGGTGAACAATGTCTGCCGAAAGATTTGAATTTTTGTCTAAATAATGCCGTATGTGATGGTTTCTCATATGAATGTCCTAATCGTAATAAATTACCTGATAATACTTCTTGTGGTGATAAACATTTGGATGGATTTTGTTATAATGGTTATTGTAAAATGTGTGAACGACGTATCGATGGATGTTATTTTTGTTGTGTGGATAAATTCCAAAAAACCTGTATAACAAACCCAATAATGATGCCAGCTGGTTCAACATGTCATCTGAAAGACTCATCTATGCCTGGTAGATGTGATCTACAAGGCAAATGTCAAGATTTAAATTCGATTATCGGTACTACTGAATTGCCATCTACAACGATTCCTATTGAAAAAATTCCTTTGGGTCCTTCAATACAAGGTATTTAAGAAAAAAAAATTCTATTCCACCGTATTCATTCTTTTCATGTATAATTTTAGAAATTATTGCCATTGTCATTAGTATTACGATAATAATTCTTGTCGCAATACTAATATGTGCATATATGTTGGCAGAAAAAAATTCATTTGATGATGAATATGATGGTGGAAGTAAAGTCGAATTGATTAGCTCGAAAAAACGAGGTACAAACTTTTTCTTTGCTTTTCACAATTTATTCAATCTTTTTTTTGGTTTTGTTTTCAAGGTTCATCCAATTTGACTTCATTGATGGCCGTAAATGTTAGAAATTCATAGCAACAATGAATGATTTTTTGTTTTATGCTGAAATTTTTCTTTGACAATCAATTTAAACACACTAGTCACTGTTGTTTTTTTCATCTTATGAATTTATATCGACCACCACTACACTGTATATCAACGGGTAATTTATAAACATTGTAAATTGTACACAAATTGATTTTTCATTCATTTGAATTGTCAAATAATAAAATTGATTAGAATTATCACTGCAAGTGTACAATTTATATTTATTTCATTCTATTTACAACAACAAAGGAATAAACTTGGTTATATGGCATGGAAAAAATGATATAATTTCAACAAAAAACTAAAAAAAAGAAAGAATATTTCACTCAACAATGTATTTCGATTTCAAAAATTTACATTGTTAAATTCAAAGAAAAAAACAGGTGATTCACTGTTTATCACAGTCTCAAAATCAGCAAAAGAAAGGCATAATGATGATCACGTCAATTGAAATTTACATTTATCAATTGTTGATGAATTTGTTCGATTTTTCTGGTCATTATTAATACCACCTTCATTAGGAACGAATTGCGCATGCGTCATAAATCAATCTTTAAATCAGAAATTTCAATTTTTTTTCAAATAATTCTCAATTTTATTCCATTGTTTCACATTCATCGCTAAGCATATGATTCATAATAAAAATCGACATTACGGCATTATTAATACCACCTTCATTAAGACTTGTAGTCATTCCATCATTTATCACAATGATCGTTTTCATTTTGTTGTTGTTGTTGTTCATGTTGACATTTTAGATGATCATTTGGTGATGATTCTTCCATAACAATCTCATCACCATTGATGTTTTTTTGTCTTTCACTTGGAGTTTTCTCATTATCCATGGGGATTATCTTATCATTAATTAGCATCTTATTTTTCAATACTTTATTTTCCTTTTTTGCTGCCAGCATATATAAAAATAATGTAACAACAGTAGTAGCCAAAAAGATATTGGTAAAACTTAATACGGATACTCCATTCATTGAAAATTTTAATGTTGAATTAGTGTTAAAAAAACTGTCAAAATAGGTATATATTTCGAAGATAATAGAAAATTCTAGAACGATATTGTGATTAAACTAATTGATTCGTTTGATTCATTTCCGATGAAGTTGCAAGTCCAAACATTGCAAATACAAAGAGATGCGCATACATACACAAGATTCCAACGAAACCATTTTGATTTTTTTATACGTATGTAACACCTTTATATAATAAAATTTTATTTTGTCAATTTTTATTTTAATCAAAATGTCATCATTTAATTCCGTAATTCATAGCAATATTTTCGGTATCATCTTCATATTCTTGTTGAATATCTCTATCAACACTTGTGAGTATCTTTGTGAGTGGAAAATATCTTTGTCATCATTTTGAATTTTTTTTTTACATAGCATCATTCGTACAACATCAAGCATACATTAAGCTAATAAAGTTATCAAACAATGATAATTTCGTGCTATTATTGTCATGTCCAAGTAATGATTATTATGATGATTCCATTATTCATCTGAATTCACTAAATACGGACACGGAACCATTGAATGTATTCACAATCAAATCAGATGGTCATATTGAATCAATTAATAATTTAATGCAAACATATTTCCATGGAATAATCACAAATTCCAAATGGAATCATGTGATTGCAATTTATGCAACAGGTATTATTGTTGTTGCGAAGAAAAAAATCTCTTTGATGATATTTACCGATTCAAAAGAATTCTATTTAACACCAAGAATTTCTTTTGATGAAAATCATCAAAATGATAATTCAAATCCGCATTTTATCATCATCGATAATCAATTACCTATCGATATACCAAATCTCTTTCAGTTAAATTCTCATCGACATCGACGTAGTACAAACAATTCATCAATTTATTATTGTGGTATCAAATTGAGAATCAATTATGATTTATTTCAACAATTTAATTGTGATTTAATTTCCACTGTTCAACATAGCCAATTTGTGATACGATTTCTTAATCAGATATTTTTTCAAACCAAATGGTCAGAAAATGGATTTGAAAATTCATCAATCGATATGGGAAAATTTGGTGTAGTGCCATGTAAAATAATTATTGAAACCCAACCGCAACAATTTACAATACAATCTAATTGGACATATTCAGATATGGAGAATTATATTCGATCCATTTCTGATGGTAATTTTTGCCTATCACATGTATTCACCAATGTGAATCTTTACAATATTAATGGAATGACATATAAATCACGTATTTTCGATGAAAATATTAACGGTGGTATATCAAGTTTTGGTCATTGTGAAAATCCATGGGAAATTTATTGTATCCTAAGTGTTGTACATGAATTCGGTCATAATTTCGGCTCATCACACGATATTGAAAACGAGGATTGTATGCCTGAAGAAGGTGGATCTTATATAATGAGCTTTCCATTTAATGATAAAAAAGGACCGAATAATTTTAAATTTTCACCTTGCTCAAATCGTGCCATTTATCATAATTTAGCAAAGAAAAAAGGACAATTCATTACCATGTATTTAGGTGAGTTGTTTTTATTTTAACTGATTGAATTCAATTATTTTATTTGATTATTTACCAATTAGAAGGTTCTTGTTCTAATAAAAATAAATGTGGTGATGGAATTCTTGAAAAAGGTGAAGAATGTGATGAAGGTCCTAAAGGTGGTCATTGTTGTGATAAAAAATGTCATTTGAAACCTGAAGCCGAATGCAGTAAAAGTCAACCTAATGCTTTATGCTGTAATGATGAATGTAAAATTCGCCAAAAAGATGAACAATGTCTGCCGAAAGATTTGAATTTTTGTCTAAATAATGCCGTTTGTGATGGTTTCTCATATGAATGTCCTAATCGTAATAAATTACCTGATAATACTTCTTGTGGTGATAAACATTTGGATGGATTTTGTTATAATGGTTATTGTAAAATGTGTGAACGACGTATCGATGGATGTTATTTTTGTTGTGTGGATAAATTCCAAAAAACCTGTATAACAAACCCAATAATGATGCCAGCTGGTTCAACATGTCATCTGAAAGACTCATCTATGCCTGGTAGATGTGATCTACAAGGCAAATGTCAAGATTTAATTTCGAATATAATTTTAGAAATCATTATAATTCTTTTCCTAATGCTAATACTGTGGTGTTCAATAGAACAATTTAATTCGATTTGAAAGTCACCCACAAAAAATTCGATGCACATTGAATTTCTTTTCTTTCTTTTCTCATGTAACCATTTTTAAAAACAGTATATAAATCTAAAACATATCCAATGCTAAAAACGTGATCTTTTTATTCGTTTTCTTGTTCTCATACGATTAATACTATCAAAAATAAAAACCTAGTTTGAAATAAATATTCGTTTTTCTGTTCTTTCGTTATTCGTATTTCTACATAATACTATGGTTTATTAGTATAATACTTATGTATATACATGAAAGATTTGGATTCTAAAAGAATCATGTTTTGGAATGTTAATGATCAAAGTTGTGATGTTTGAATATTTTAAATGAAATGTTTGACTTTGATTTAATGAATGTTATAACCTGATTAATGTTTCTATTGGATTTTAATCTAGTATTTAAACTCATCCTAAATTATCATCATCCATCGATTATCTGGGATTTATGATCTGAGTATACTTGACCAATAAAGCTTTATTTGATTCATCAATATTTCAATAGTGTCCAATTCCCAACCATAGCTGCGAACTTATTATCGATATGATTATTACGATGTTGAGATCATCGTAATTTATTACATACATAAGTTTATAATATATGTGAGCAGAAATAAAAATTCACTTGCTGATGAATATGATGGCGAAAATAAAATCGAATTGATTAGCTTGAAAAAACTTTTTCTTTGCTTTTCACAATTTATTCAATCTTTTTTTTTGGTTTTGTTTTCAAGGTTCATCCAATTGGACTCCATTGATGGCCGTAAATGTTAGAAATTTATAGAATTTTATATTTATTTTTTATACAATTTGTTGTTTTATGTTGGAATTTTCCTTTGACAATCAATTTAAACACTAGTCACCGTTAGAATAAGAGACGATTCTTATTGCTGGTGCTGAGCCACATTCCAGGATTTTTTCTTCATCTGATGAATTTATATCGACCATCACTACGCTACACCAAAAAATGGGGGAGTCAAGTCTATGGACGCCACGCTATTTACAGACAATTTTGCATCCCCTGCCTTACTGTTGCTGTACAATGCCTACCTCCATTTTTTTGGACGACTTTTTTCGGTGTATATATTAACGGATAATTTATAAACATAGTAAATTGTACACAAATTGATTTTTCATTCATCTGAATTGTCAAATAATAAAATTTGATTATAATCATCACTGCAAGTGCACAATTTTTATATTTATTTCATTCTATTTACAACAACAAGAGAATAAACTTGGTTATATGGGATGAAAAATTTAACAAAAAACTAAAAAAGAAATTTGAATATTTCACTCAACAATGTGTATTTTGATTTCAAAAATTTACATCGTTAAATTCAAAGAAAAAACAAGGGATTCCCTGTTTATCACAGTCTCAAAATCAAAAAAAAAAAAAAAAAAAAAAGGCATACTGATGATCACGTCAATTGAAATTTACATTTATTAATGGTTGATGAATTTGTCCGATTTTTAACAACAATTTGTCTGGTCACTCTGTTCCAAATTGATTCTATGTTTGATTCTTTCATTTTTTCCGTAAAAATAATACTACGATTATAAATACATTGATCAATATGTTTTGGTTCAACATTGAATTGAAATCCGGGTATTTGATGTCGTCGAAATGAAATTTTTGAAATTTTTTCCAATTTTTCCGGTACAATACCGGTTATATAGATATCTTCCCACAGTAATGCAGGCATTGCTTGCTGTACAGCAGCTAAATAAATGAATAAACAACTTGAACGACCATTCATAAGCCAAGCGGAACCAGAATAAAGTGGATAAAATTTTTTGGAATAATCACGAAAACTAGTAAAGAATTTATTCTTCTGTAAACGTATTACTGCCGAATTATTCCAAAGATTTCCATAGATTGCAAATCGTGGTGGCAACATTTTTGTTTCATTATAATCATCTGGTTTTTGTTTTTGTTCTTGTTTTTGTTTTAATTTTCGACAAAATTCAATAAAATTATCATGATTTATCAATGCATCGGCATCCACTTTGAATACATTTACAGCTAATGGACAATAAACGCTTGCCCAACGTATAATGGCCATAGATTTAATTGTTAATCGAAAATAATCTTCCTGATAATTCCATTGAATAATATCATTGAAATATTCATTTTCTCGTCGAATCAATTCTTCAATTTTACGAAAATCAAACATTTTCTGTTTCATTTGTCCGAATACAAAATATAAACGACTTGAATTGTCTGTTTGAAATTTTGATGCCCAAGTTGATCGAATTAATGATCGTAAACGAAAATCATCCGGTTTAGTTACAACCAATATGACCACCGTTAAATGGGCACCATATGTATATGGATCACATAGTCTTGCACCATAAATTAATCTAGTGATTCCTTTGAATTCAGATTTTTTTATATTAGTTTTCATTCCCAATTTTCTTCGTCGATCAATATCTTTTTCAACAATGGTCATCGATGGTTGATCAACATGAATGTAGACATCAATTTGATTGATTATTTGAAGATGAAATAATAGAATTCTATCTATAATTTAACGATATAATAATAATAAGAAAAAATTCAGATCACCAGTGAAAACACAGACAAAAATTTACCTTTAAAATGATTAATTGTATCAAAACCATCGATGGACAGGTTAAATTTAGCTGGTAAATTTTCCACATCGTAATTGGTAATAAAATTTTCAAACAATGAAATATTATCATTTTCAATTTGGGGCAATTGATTATAATACAGATCGGTCAAGTTCAAATGTTTTATCCAATGGATAGCATTAGCATTGATTTTTTGTATTTCACGTAAACGTTTTAATATTGCGGCCGTATTGCTATCACTGATGGACATATTGTCAACTATTAATTGATTCTGATATAATTGATTGGTGGTATGTTGAATGAATAACAATGTTGAAATGATTATCAAACAAGTTATAATGGTGAAACATTGTTTCAATTTATTTGATAATGAAAACATTTTTTTTTGGCAATGGTAAAAAATATTTTATTTTTACGTGGAAAATTTTTCTCGTACGTAATTCATAGCTACCTAAATCAATATGGTTTCGGTTTCAATATTAATTCATTTTGATTATAAAATAAAAAAATTTAATGACTTAATCTGTTTTGATGATTATTACCATAGAAATGACAAACAAATAAACACATAGGTAGCATTGATTGATTGATTGGTTGATTGATGTGTTGATTAACATGGTAGTAAATGATGAAAGTTCAATTGTTTGATGATGATGATATCGTTCAAACAAAGATGTCAATGTCAATCGTTTTCTCTAATGATGAGACTCATTTTTTTTTGTTGTTGTTGCTTTAATTTTGATTGAATTTGATGATTAATACATGTAGCACATTTACTGATTGACGTAATGGACTGTTTGGGAAAAAAAAAGATTGGCAATTTAACGGGCAAATTGGTATGTTTTTCAAAAGTTTAAATGTTTTTTTTTTTTTGAAAATGTAAAAAACAAACAAACAGACAAACTTTGCTTCATCATCATAACACCATTCGAATGATGATGATGATCATCATCATCATCGTTGTTGTTTTTTTCACCAGCAACAGAAAAAAAAGTGATTGTCATAGATTTTTTTTTCTTCTGCGTTTTCTGGCTCTTCCAACCGAAACGGTTGCCAACTTTTAGTTTCTTCTTCTTCTTCTTCTTCATTCTTTGCATTTCATCATTGAATCGAATTTCCGATAAGCAAGGTGTGTGTGTGTGTGTGTGTGTGTGCGTTAAATTGTCGTAAATGTACAAGCCAGACAGAAAAAAAACACAGTTATAGAACAGTTAGGTGTTATTGTCGTCGTTGTTGTTGTTGTTGTTGTCGTGGTGTTTTTTTTTCACCACCATCTGATTTAATGATTCCATTCAAAAGTATGGCTGTTTGAAAGAAAAAGAGAAATATTCCATTTCATCATCATCATCAAATCATCAGCGCTCGTTTGAAAAAATATTTTTGAAAAGCGGCATTTTTAAATTTGAACAAACAAACTGAACATTTGAAATTTTTTCCTCAATCTAGCGGTTTCGGAAATTCGATTTTTTTTTTACTTTTGAATTCCGAGAAAAATGATGATGACGATGATGATGATATTAATGGTGTTGTGTGGCAAGCAAGCGACAGTAATGATGACGGGTAGCGGTAGCGAAAAAAAATTGATCCAAATATAAATGACAGATGATTCAGTGATAAAGATTATTGGGTAGTGGAATAGAGAGAGAGAGAGAGAGAAGGTTAAAGTTTATTTTTTGAAAATATGGAGAAAAAATTTCGATTTTTTTTCTTGTTTGACGTGTTTGAATCCCAGAATATTCTATCACAAGGTCTTTGCGTTCAATGTTGTTGTTGTTGTTGTTGTTAATAATTTAATAAAAACACACGATGCACTGAGAGAGAGAGAACTGAAAATCTAAAATTATCAGTCATTACCATTTTCTAGTAAAAATCATAAATTTGGAATAAATAATTTAGTTATGCATAACAATAATCGGATAATATTATGGAACGAGCACAGTTTTTTTTTTTGATATTTGGAAAACAGGAATTGGGCAAAACAAACAATGATGGAAAAAAATCCAGTGTGTGTGTGTGTTAACGATAGCGTGACTGGCTGGTGTTTATTTTATTTATTTTTTTTTTGAAAATTTAATTTGTCGTCCATGTTTTTTGTTTCCGAAATTAGATCATCTGGACACTGGTTAAAATTTCATTACATAAACATGATGAATTCCTGTGTATGCGTCAAAATAATAATGATTAGAATTATGTAACCGAATAATAAATGATGATGATGATGATGATGATGACAATGGTTTCTATTCTGGTTCATCAATCATTTTTTTTCTGGTTTCATTTGAATTCCAATTCCAAAAATGGAAAATTTTCATCTTTTTTTTTGTTATTTTTCAATTATCATCATCATTATGATGTAAAAATCATCATACAATCATCGATCATCATTCCAAAACAATCGGTCACACTCATTGATAATCACGTATCATCATCATCATCATCATCCATTAAATGAATAAATAAATAAACAAAAAAAAAAAAAAAATTTGCGTCATCATCATCATCATCGTGGTCTTGCGACTTGTTGGAAATTGTTTTTTAGACACACACACAAAAAAAAAAAAAAAAAAAATTACAGTATCAAATAATGATAATCAAAAAAAGAATTGAAAATGTTTATCCGAAAAAAACAAAAATGTCAATAAAATTTGAAAGAAATGTATCCACAATATATCATTATCATCATTTGATTTTGATAAAAAATCAAATGGATCGATATTTTCGTTTGCTTTCACACACACACTGATATCCAATTGATTTGCCTATATAGACGTCAATCAATAAAATCAATGATGATTGACTGATTGATTGACTGATTGATATATTATTAATGTAAAAATGCGTTATCATTATTTTTTTTTTCAATTGGCCAGAAAAGAAATTCAATATGTTTTGTTTCACACTATATAAATATTGCACATTACATCCAAAATCAAAAATCATTTCAATTGAAATATTGAAAAATTCATTTTTATGTGAACGAAAGTAGTAAAAAATCAATCATGCGTTTATTGACCATAATTTTATTTGTAATTACATTGATTGTAATCGATAATAATAATTTTGTAAAACAAGTTGATGCAAAAAAACAAAATTCTATACAATCAATCAATGATGATGATGGTGGTGGTGGTGGTGAAAAAACATTCGATCCACCGATTGATTCATCTGACACTTGTAATGTAAGTTAATTATGATTTCCATTTGGAAATATTTTTTTTTTGTTTCTTTCAACATTTTATTTCATTTTTTTGCGGACAGATTTCAAATGATGAAAAATTGGCAACAAAAACAATAGCAAAGAAATCGAAAAAAGCAAAAGAAGTGATTGTCGAAGACATAATCGTTGAAACAAAAGAACAACAAGATGAGCTTATTGCACAGCAAAAACAAATTGACGAAAACGATACCACCACCACCACCACCACCACCACCACCACCATCAATTATCATGAAAAGGAGGAGAAAATAAAAAAACCTCAAAATGATAAACCGAAGAAAAAACAAAAACAAACCAAACAGGAAACAGTGGAAACTAAAACAGCAAAAACATCCGATTTTAAAACTAAAACTAAACGAGAAATCAATGTTGAAGTAGCCAATCATGATCAATCGATTGAATCTTCTTCTGTGGAACAACAACAACAAGTTGATGGTCAAGAACAAGCTAAGAAAACAGTCACCGAACAGCAACAATCAAAAAAGGAGAAAAAATCTAAACAAAATAAATCGGATAATAAAACAAAAGATTCAAAATCAAAATCGAAATCAAAATCAAAAAATAAAAAGAATAAAAAAAGTAAAAAAAAGAATGGAAAAAAACGTAAAAATGGTAAACGACAAAATTAATTGATTGATTATTGATTAATTGCAATGACATAATAAAATGATGATGATGACGATTTGTTTGTTGTAAATAAATGGATGATAATTACCTATTTTTTTCTTTCTCTCTGTCTTTTTGAATAAAATCGAATGATTTTCATCGTTTAAATTTGGACACGTCCTATATGAACGGTCTTTGTATTTGAATACACGTGTTTTTTTTGTGGATTTATGTTTTCTTCTGTTTTTTTATATTTTATAATACGATAAAATGGGAAAAGCATCTGGTGTTTCACGGCGAAGATTGAAAGCCGGATCGTTTCATTATAAACGTAGTAATAAACTAAAACGTCAACGATTACGTGTACTACGTAAATGTAATACAATCAATTGTGATGCCATACGTCAATCGTGGGATGATAAAAAATCACTTATAAATAATATGAAAAATATGGGACTTGCAGAAGATCCGAATAAATTATTGAGTGATGTGAAATTTCATGAAAAATATAAAAATCCTGCATTGAATAATGATCGTAACGATAGTATTGTACAACGATTACATAGAAAACTTGAACGAAATCATCGGAAACGAAAAATGAAAAAATCAAATGAATTTTCCATCGATGATATGGCACAGAATGGAAAACCAATGACAACGAAAACATCAACAACAGTTGTTGAAAAACTAACCGAATTGGCATCGAAACCTGTAAGAAAAATTTTCGTTTTGGCCCCGAACAGATAAAATTCTGTGCATATATGATTGAAAAATATGGCAATGATTATGAAGCAATGTGTCGTGATCGACGAAATTATTATCAAGAATCTGTTGGACAGATTCGTACGAAAATTCAAAAATTTCTTGCCAATCAATCACATAGAAATGTATATGAAACAGCTATAAAAATGTGTGAAACTAAAATCGATGATGACGACGACGACGACAACGATGATGATGACTGTTATTGATGTTGTTGATGAATTTTGTTGGAAATTAATTGTCAATCCGATTAGTCATGGTTTTCGTGTTTTTTTTTCGTAAATAGCCATTACATTTTCTATCCCATCCATCCCTATTTGCACCATTACCGATTTTTGCTTCATTAGTCTCAATGTTTAATTGATTTTTTCATTTTTCCATATTTTTTCATTATTATTAAACAAAAAAAAAAAAAAAAATACCAGAACCATGACTGATGGCGATGGTGATGATAGAGATTAACCTGGTGCAATGTATGTGTCTATCCAATATACCACGAACAGATTGTTGGTTTTCTTTATCGAAGAAACAAATGCATATGTGTGTGTGTAACCATATATCAATCAAAAAAAAAAAAAAAAAAAAATGACATCCACGTAAAATTCACCTGTATATCCTGTCAAAAAAAAAATTAAATTAAATTTTCGAAATTTTTTTGCTGCTGCTGCTGCCATATTTTTCATATGACATAAACATCGTGTTTTGCTCGTGTTTTTCAGATTCAATCTGAACCAGATATAAATATATTCATTTATGTCCTTGATTTTTCTTGATTGATATTGATTTCATCTAAATTAATCACAAATAATCATCATAATGATGACGACAATAGCAACAAAAAAAACGCGTTTGCTTTTAAATAATTTTTTAGTGTAAAAAAAATTCATTGTGTATTAGTGATTGTCAACTGAAGAAACTGCTTTTTTTTTTTTTTTGCTGGAAAAAATTTCTTTTAAACATCTACAAAAAAAATGGACACTACTTCAATATCGATTCCAGCGTCATCGATTCATGAACAACCAATCGGTACAATGTTGCTTGTATTACAATTATTCAACATAATCAATAAAAATGAAACCAATTCGAATGTCATCGATAATAATAATAAATATTATCATCGAAATGTTCCAACAACAATATTGACCAATAATTATAATAATGATGATTCATGGTTTAATCTTTTCAATGATCAAGAATTAATGAAATATCATCCATTATTAGCACTTATTTATCATCAAAATGAAATGTATCCAAATCGTAATCGAACAAAACAATCATCATCATTGTATACAACAACAACAACAACAACAGCAGCGACAACTACAACGACGACAACAGTGCCAGTAAAAATAGCAATGAAACCTAATGAACATTATTGGAATCAAAACATTAATCATAATCTATGTTGTACATCAAATTGTGGTAAAAATGATTATTATTCATTTGCTCGTCGCCATGATCCAAGACCACCTTCACCATCATCATCATCATCATTGTTGTCATTATCATCATCATTTGCTAATTATTATGATCATATAAAAACATCGAATGATCCATTTTTTCGTCGTAATCAATTAAGAATTGTCGGTGGACATGGTGTTGATATTAGCCAGATACCATGGCAAGTGTCATTTCAACGATCACGTGGACCATATACATCGAATTATAAACATTTTTGTGGTGGTGCCATCATTCATCCAGAATGGGTGATAACAGCAGCTCATTGTTTTGGATGGTTTGTTTTTTTTTTTTTTTAGTTTCTCTATGCAATTGTAAATGTGTAATTTCGACAAAAATTTTTTTCAGGCTTAGAGGAAATCCTGTGAAATCTAATCAGTTGAATGAAGTGAGAATGAGTTCCGGTGCCAATACTGCTTTACCGAATGGATATTCAAATTTTGTATATATCAATAGTCATCAGAATAATAATAATGATGATGATGATCATAATCGAATCATATCGAATATTGAAAAAGTTATTAAATATCCATTATATAGAAAAAATTCATCCAAATATGATTTGGCTTTAGTTAAACTTTCCAAACGATTACCATTGTTACCGAATTCTATACAAAATGCAATTTGTTTGCCAACATCATCGCAACTAGAACGACAATTTCATCATTATCGTGATCATTTTACTGTTTCTGGTTATGGTCGAACAATGGAAAATGGAAAATCAGCACCATCGTTGCAGGCGGTTAATGTAACATCCAGATCCGATTTGTAAGTTGATCATGATTTTGTTTAAAGATTTTTTTATTAACAAGTTTTTTAAATTTTAAATTAGTGAATGTAAAAATGTTTATGAAGATTTATTTACACCGGAAAATATGATCTGTGCCGGTGATGAAGGTGAAGATTCATGTCAAGGTGATTCCGGTGGGCCATTATTTCGTTTTGATCCATTGGTTAATCGTAATATTCTATATGGTATTGTTTCATATGGTGTTGGTTGTGGCCGTCGTCATTATCCGGGTATTTATTCACGGATAAGTTATTATTCTGATTGGATACAAAAAACAATTAACAATGATCATCATCGACAACAACAAAAACAAGATGAATATTCAGAACAAATACAAAAATTTTTTTATTCCAATTATCATCATAATAATGATGATGATGATCTTTATAGTGGTGATAGTTTTTATGGTTATTAAACATTGTGTTTGTCTTTCTGTTTTTTTTCTCTGCATTTGTATTTTATTTGAAATCCAATGTGTGTGGGTGTTTTGGACAATGAGTAGTGATGAAAAATCAATAAATTAAATCAATAATTGATCGATCGATTGATTGATTGACAGATTAAAACATTTATCTACCTAATGGTCGAGCTGTAACCCAATTTTCAACACCACATGCATGACGACAATAACCTAATGCACGGCGACAATCGAATGCAAAACAACAATGGCCAATACAATTACGTTGTTCATCATTTGCATTTCGTGCATCCCATGATGGATCAAAATAATATCGTTCACAATAATATTTTTCACATTCTAATTTATCACTACGTTTTAGGCCAAAACGATTCGGTGTTTGAGTGCCACATTTACGCCGACATTGTACCAAATGTCCCCAATCTCTACAATCAAATGCTAGGCAACAATGTGCAATACAATTACAACGATTACGATTGGATTCATAGCAATCTTTTCCTTCATCAAAATATCCATCTGTACAATTTAATGTTTTTGGACAATTTGAACGATATGTTGAATGTTGCTGTTGTTGAAAATTTATGGTCGATGATGATGATGATGAAGATGTGGCAATATCATTTGTTGTTGTTGTTGTTGTTGTTGGCAATGATGATTTCGAAATCATTTCTGATGATGATGATGATGTTGTTGTTGTTGTTAAGGTGTGAACAAAATGATTATCGAATTTATAAATTAATAACACTAATAACAATAATGATGAGAATAGATTCGAATAATATGAAATAATGATGATAAGATACATATTTTTCCGTTTCACTGTTTTATCGATTGATTGATTGTTGTTGATTATCGAATAAATGAATGAATCAATGATGAAGGATTAGGTGACTAGATTGTTATTATGAGGGTAGGAATTCTCTTTCTTTTTTTTCTGAATTATTTGAAAAACAAGGATGGATCGTCGATGTTTATTTGTTGATGATAATGATCATTGGATCAATGTTTTCTTCGTGTGTGTGTGTGTGTGCATGAATCTCACCTTCGATTTTGATCAATAACGACAACAACAACAACAACAACAGAAAACAACAAATCATTCATAAAATGTCAGGATCATTTCAATTTGAATTCAAATTTTTTTTTCATTTCTTTATACACAAGATTATTGTGATCGAGGACTACCACTCAGTATGTGTGTGTGTGTGTCTTTAAGATTTGAAATGAAATTAATTTCAAAAAAAAAACTCATCATCCAAGTTTTTAAATAATGATGATGATGATGATGATACGAATGCGAGAGAAAATAAACTTGTCATTCATCATGGATCATCATCACATGGTGGGAACAACAACAACAACAACGACGACGACGACGAGGTGAATGTTCCGCATTTTTTTCTCATTTGCAGCAATTAATTTTTTTTCAAATCTAAATTTAAAAGAAAAACACGATCCTTGATTACCTGAAGAGATCAAATGAATGCAACCATTCCAAGCTTCCGATATTTTTTTTTTGTTCTGTACTCTATCACACACACACACACACACACACACACACACATTTTAAACGACGAGTTTGAACTGAATAAATTATAATTTAAAAATTTAAAATTACCGGTATTTGATTGATGAAAGTGCTGCCGTCTGATGGAAAAAATAAAATAAAACTATGATTCAGTTATTTTTCAATTTCAACTTGAATTTAATGAACATTGACCAATGTCCACCACCATACACAAATGTTCAACCCTCTGGAATAAAATTTTATTTAAATAACATTTAGTAGTAGTAGTAGCCTGTTGCATATACAATAAATTGCATCAATTTTGTTATTGTCATCATTTTTTTTTGCAAGTAAATCTGATAAATCATCAACAGAGAAAAAATTGATAAATTTTTGGAAGTGGATATAAATCCAAGATAGAAAGAAAAGAGAGAGAGAGCAATGAAGAGATCAAAACATTCGATGACAATATATATGAGATTGATGGATGATGAGAGTTGTTTTAAGAGTTTGTTTTCAATTTTTTGAATTTTACAATAATTACCAATGTAATAAGAAATACATGCATACGAGCAAACAATGTGATTACACATAGAGAATAAAAATTTACAAAATATGTAATTTCTAATAATCCGAAATCAAATGATATGAACAGAAAAAAAAAATTTCTAAAAGATAAAATTTTAAAGAAAAGGAAAAAAAACCACAATGAAATGAGATATCATGTGAAAACAGGATTGTATGATAATCAATTGAAAAAAAAGAAAATCAATATTTCATCGGATAGAACAGCGTATGGGGGCAGAATGATCATTGATTATTGATTGATTGATGGTGATTCTAGATTCTCTAGAATATAATCATCTGATTGTGAAAGAAAAATTGAATGAATGAAAATGAAAATGGAAACCATACAGAATAAAAAACATACCGATATTTTTATTTAATAAACCCAATTGTTTAACAAATAAATGATCAACACATTTAAGGCCAATACTACGCAATGGTGGTAAACGTAATAATAGTTTAGCAAAACGGCCAGGCTGATTTGGATAATGTGATTTACAATGTTCTTCTAATGCTGCATATACTTTATCTCGATATTGTTCAACATTGGAAACGGATTTAAGATTTTTCATTTCTGTATAAAAATTGATTCAAAAAAAAAATTAGAAAAAAAACCAAACAACATTCAAATGTTACCTGAATTGAAAAGAACCACCGAACGTAAACAGCCAATTTCTGTTTTATCCATTTGCATTTCACGCATTTTACTAACCAATTCGGTCAATACACGTTGAAATACTTCACCAATGCCGGTACTTTTTGCCGCTTGTTCATTTATATAGAAACCATTGGACAATACTAATACTTTATCCGCTTCTATTGAACGATGTGCAAATTCAGCAATGAGCAATTCATTCCAACCAGATTTCATTAATGATACTTGATCATCTAAATGTAATTCACTAAAATGTGGTATCATACGAGCCCATTCAAATAATTGAGCAACTTGTTGTTTCACTGCATCGGTTATATCCGTTATTCTTTCTTTACGTAGTTTAATATCTATACGCATTTCTGCTTCACGAATCTGTTGTAACAAGAGATCATGATTATAATTGGAAGTACTTTCTACTTCATTATCATTTTTTTCTTTTGTACGTTGCCGTTCTTCTTGTACTGCTTCACGTTTCATACCCATTTGTAAACATTTCTGATAACGACAATATTGGCAACGATTTCTTTGTTTTTTATCAATTATACAGCTACGTTCTTCACGACATGCATAGAATAGATCTTTTCGTACGGTACGTTTAAAGAAACCTTTACATCCTTCACAACTGAAAAATTATAAATAAAAAAAAAATTATGAACTATAAACCAAGAACCAGAAATAAAAACGAACGAACCTATAAACACCATAATGTTTACCGGATGCACGATCACCACAAATGGCACATAAATGTTTTGATCCACTTAATGGATGATTTGGTGGATATGATCCACCAGATTGATTATTATTTGCCGTTGATGATGATGAACTATTATTATTATTTGTAGTTGATTGTGGTGAACCAACTGAACTTGCAACAATTTGATTATTACCGCCATTGGAATTTCCATTACCATTATTCATTTGTGGTGATGTTGTTGTTGATGATGATGTTGCCGCTGTTGTTGTTGTTGAGGACATATTGTTGTTTATAGATGATGATGATGATGGAAATAATGAAATTGATTGTGTTGAAGAAGATGATGTTACTGGAACTGTTGTTGTTGCTGTTGTCGATGGATATGGTGAAAATACATTAGTACTGCTCGAAGATGGTGATATCGATGCTATCGAACTGACTACACTATTTGGACCAGAACCATTTGTTATTGTTGCTGTTGTAGTTGTTGTTATTATTCCGTTTGCAGCTGTAATTTGAGAGAAAAAAACAAATTATTTATTTCAAATAAAAATTAATGCGAAAGGGTTAAGTGAAAAATGAGAAAAAAAATAACCACTAGCATCCAAACACACATAAACAAAACAAAAAAATAATCGCGCGTGCAAGTTGATAAATTGTGAAACTATGAATCGTTGCGTTTACAAGAGCAACGATATACCTGAAGAAGCTGATGATGAGAATTTAGATTGAAAATTCTGTGAATTAATCCAATTTAATGTTTCCGATTGTTGGATCGATGAATGTTGTTGTTGTTGTTGATAATAGACATTTTTCGATAATTCCTGTGATTGATGATGATGATGATGATGGTCATTATTAAAATTTTGTATATAAAATTGTGTAGAATTTGTATCATTCAATGAATTTAAATGATTAGTGTGATGATGATGACGATGATGATGATGATAAGGATAATAAAACATTTGAAATGATGCTGTATCAGGATGATGACCATGGCCATGATGATGAAAATGATGTTGTTGTTGTTGATGATGGTAAGCATATGAATTGGTCATCATATGATTTGTAGCCGTTGTTGATGATGATGAATTTTCAAGATGATGATGATGATAATTAGAAATCATTTCATAACTACCGTTACCACCACTACTACCATTTTCTTCATCAATATCATGATGATGATGATGATGATATGAAGAAAATAATTTCGGAACAATCATTTTGGCATCATGATGATGATGATGATGATGATTATCAGATTGTTGTTGTTGAATTCGTTGATCATCATCATTTGAATTATTATTATTAACATTAATCGTACCATTAAAACCGGAACAATGTAATGCAGTTATATCACAAAATAATTGATAATGTTGTTGTTGTTGTTGTTGTATATTATGACCATGACAATGGCCATCAACATCATTCTGATGATGACCATTATCAATGTCCATTGATAAATTATGATTATTCATCATGGATGAAGTCATTATTAGTTTAAAATTCAATTCAATTCAATCAATCAATCATCAACTACGAAAACATCAATTGAATATAAATGTATGAATCCGAATCTGAATGATCGTCATTTTTTTTTTTCGTTTCTTTTATTATTATTACCGATATATATTCAAATCCACAAGCATCAATCATCAACGCGCCAGCGCTCATACATTGGATTTTACAGCTATTTAATTTAATTTTTTTTTATAACCGAATAGTAGTAGTGGTATATATGAAAATTGATGATAAAAACCATCATATGTTAACAAATAATAATAATAATAATCGGAAAAAATGAATCGATCGAAAGATAATCTATAATTTCAATCAGCCGAAAAAAAAACAAAACAGAACGAAACGAAACGGAAAAATCTCAATTGATCCATATTAATTAATTAATTTGTTTATATATCAACCATAATAATGTCTGATGAATTGATGAATGTCAGACAATCAGACAAAAATTTTTTTTATCATGGTTGCCTGATAAAAAAAACAATTCAAAGTAAATCAGATCACCAAGACGAAAAAAAAAACAGAATAATTTCATTAACAGCGTTTTTATTGTTTTTGACATGAGTAAATGAAATTTTACCATAAAAATCAATCCATTTTATCAATCCATCGAGTGTGTGAATTTATCGAAAAAAAAATTTGAAACAACAAGCAAAATAGACAGAATAATAATATACAATGGGCGTAAAACACAGACTGTTAACGAATTAAAACAAAACAAAAAACAAAAACAAGAAAATGAAACCAAGTGCAGTTTCGCCAATCAATCCAAAATCCTTTTTTTTCTTTGTATCGATTCGAAATTGAAAAACGAAAAGAAAATATGAAAAAAAAACATTTCAACCAGAAACCAGAATAGATTAATCAAACAAGAGCAACAACAACAACAACAACAACAAATTTTGGTCAAGAACTTTTTTTGACCTTCAAAATATGGAATTAGAGATGAATTTATGCAATAATATATTTTTTTGGGATTTAATCTGCTTATTAATTTTTTTTTCATTTTCTTTTTCTTTCTCTCGTTTGCCTGACCAGAATGTGGTGTTGACACATTTTTATTTTTTTTTTTTTTCATTTTGTGAGTTTTTTTTCTGTGTTGTTGATTTATTTTTTGACAACCCGAACAACGAAAACAACAACAACAAGCATCTTTTGCATTGTAAAAATCAATATGGATAATTGACATTGAAATAGTGGAAAAGATTTTTTTTTACCCATTTTTTTTTGGCTGAAAATCGTGAAAAATATGAATTTGCTGTTCGTGTGTCGAATGACATTTTTCATTTTTCGTTCAAAATAAATATAAAACATTTGTCAGACTACGATCGTATTTGAACCTGATCGTCGTCTGATGAATATTGATATGGATTTAAATTTTAAATATTGAATTAAATTAAATTTTCTGGCAATATACAAAATGTAAAACATTACATTACGTCTAGCTCATTTTTTTTATTGATTGATTGATTGATTCTTTGCCATTTGATTCATACAAAATTGGTAATTGAGTGAAAAAAATTTGATTATTTTGCTTTTGTTTCACAATCAATTGAATTTGTTCAATAATGATCATCATCATGTCTGATGTGTGTGCAATCGAATCAGACAGTGAACAATGATGATGATGATGAACTTTATTTAATAAAAAAAAAAAATGAAAACTTCAACCAGAGTGGTAGAAGACAGAAAAAAAAATTTAAATTTTTTTAAAAATTCACACACACACACACACGATAAATATATTGCCATCTATTGGTATGGAATAGAGATCACGTGTGTGTGTGGGTGGATGTGCTTTTTTTCTATGTTTCTTCAGTTATAATTTATGTATGCATACAATAATGATGATGATGATGATTATTATCAACACGATGTAATAATATTTTTATCATTTGAATGTATATGTGTGTGTGTTTGTCTGTGTGGTTGGATGCAAAAGGCGCCAAAAAAAAAAAAAAAAAAAATAAACAAAACAAACAAACAAACTTACCTAGATAAAGTGATTCATCCAACGATTCATCTTGTTCAATTTTAATTTGTAACACTGTTTGAAATTTTGTTGAAAATATATCAAAAAAAAAAAATGAAATTTAGATTTAGATTGTAAAGAAAATTTCGTTAAAAAAAATCAAAAACACCTACTATTTTTATTCGATTCAGGTATGGACATTTTATGATGGTGTTCACACACACACACCTTAACCGTAATTGGTCGTTGTTGTTGTTGTCCAGCTGTTTTTTTGTCTATTCACAATGACAATCACAATTGGTCAATAAAAATGGAATGAAAACAACAACAACAACAACAATTCACTTTTAGGAATGAATGACGAAACAAATGTTGGTGTTGAATGTAATTATCTAGTATTCAGGAACAAATAATTACATCACACACACACACAAACTATAGTTGCAAGAAAATAAACAGACAAAACGCACACACACAAACATCACATGGGACACCTACACAATAAATTTTTTTTTATCCAGGAACATTATCCAGGAAAAACCAAGAAAAAAAATAACAGCAACATTCATTGGAACAATTTTCAGGTATTTTAATCGGTTGCAACGAAAAACCAACCATCATATCATCACACACAAACACAACGAATTGAGCGTCAAAAAAAAAAAAAAAAAAAAATGTCAAAACATTTTCAATCACACTACGCATACACACAAAACACGAACAATTTAAGAATTTTGGTTTTGTTTTGTTTTGTTTTTAAAAATTATTCTCGAAAATTAATCTTGGATTCACTTTATTGTTTCGATGGATTTTGTTTTTTGTTTTGTCTTGTTGTATCAATCAAACACACGACGCAAAGTGCACTCATGAGCACATTGGATCTTTTCTTTTCGTTTCTTTTTTTTTTTTTAGTTCTGGAGAAAGCGCTTTCTTTTCACTTTCTTTCTTCTGGTTTTTTGTTGTTGTTGTTGTTGTTGTTGTTGTTATTATTGTTGGGTTGGCTGTAGAGTATCCACACATTCAATCATTGTGTTGTTGTTGTTGTTGTTGTTGGTGTTCTTCAAAACTTTCGTTACGATTCACACAATTCTATTCTGATCTTCAAAATATCCACACACACATACACACACAAGAAGTGGTTTCTTTTTTGTTGTTATTATTGATCAAGTAGTGGCATGACATACAAACCACACTGATCATACTACCACCACCATCGTCATCATCATCATCAACAAATATAATACCCAACCATCCAAAGCCAAAGCCAAAAAAAAAAAATGCATAAAAAAACATGACATTTTTTTCTGTGATGTGATGCGATGTTCGTTGGATACAACCAAACAAAACAAAACAAAAAACGTAGCAAAAAAAAAAGTCAGTGACTGATTGTCATGACACACACACACAGTGTGCATTTATTATTGTCTCTGTCGTTCGATAATGATTGACTGAATGAATGATTTGATGAAAATTACAAATCATCAGCCATATAGAAATTATTTATTCATTTCGATTCTTCTTTGTTGTTCGTTGTCGTTGAATTCTATATTCCATATTTGTGTGTGTGTGTGTGTGTGTGTAGGTGTGTTTTTGTTGCTGACATTATCGATCATTTATATATAAAAGTTTATTGACCATTGTGTAGTTGAATGGAATCATTAATTTTGTCATTCGTAGAAACAATTCTGTATTTCATTGGAATTTTGTATCATTCAAAAGGAAATGGTTTTTTTTAATGTATTAAAGAATTCTGGTTCAACATACAGTGGTAAATTATAAATGACCTATATAATAAACACATTATATTATGCTAGCAGTATTATTCATCAGATATATCAGATATATTTTGTGGTCTATATATATCGGATTTTTTTTTTTTTTTGGCCCAATTTAAAATTTATTATAGCCACGTGTAACGCCATCTATTGATTTTCGAAATTGATCATTTTTTTCATCAAAAGATGGCGACACGTATTTTGTAATTTTCAAAAAAAACTATCCTATTTATGAATTCGCTTAAATATATGCGCGCGCCAATTCTTTTCTATTTTAATTGGGAAACAAAAATAATAATAAAAAATAAATCCTACTGGATTCTACTATATAAGGGATTCATTATTAAAAAGAAGCAGAAAAAAATAATGAATTCAAATCAACCCTCAAGCCTTTAGTCTCTCTCTCTCTCTCTCTCTCTATCTATCTATGGATAATTGCATTCAATACACTTGAGATAATGGTTAATTAACGAATCAAATTATATTAGAATAACCGGCTAATAGAATAATTTGGAATTCAGAAAAGCCGGAAAGAGGAATCTTTGATTCTATTTAAAAAAAACACAAATGCTATTGATGAATGATAAACAGAATAATGAAATTAGTTGAAAATCATTGATTCACATGATCTTGATCAAAAATTTTTTTTTTCTGTTCCAGAAAAATTTCTAGAATTTTCTAGAAATTGTGTGTGTGTGTATGTGTGGGTGTGCATTTAAGTCTAACTAACAATCAAATTGGTCGATCTTTGTTTTTTTTTTCTTTTTTAGTGCCAATTTATTATCAAGACGAATGTCTTTATCTGTCTATCTATCTTCTTTAGTGTAGAAGAATATTCTCGTTGATTTGGAAAAAAAAAAACGATTGGCCAATAAGAGAAAAAATTCGAATTCCAATGATACTTTGGCGGCTACCGAAGAAGAAGATACAAAATTAAATTTCACATAATATTACATTACATTCATTGTCTTCAATAGCAACAACAACAACAACGACGACGACAACAATAATTGAATTCTTTACATTTTCATCTTAATTATCGAACAGAAAAATTCTTTTCTGTCGCCCAATCACATCGGACAGAATTCTGCTTTAAATAAAAATTCTAGTGAATTTTTTTTTCGTGTTAAGGTTAAAAATTTTGTTGAAATTTACATTTATCGATTAAAATATTTCTGTTTTCAAATGTGCGTGTGTGTGTATGAAAAAAAAATTCATTTCATAATCACTGAATTATATATATGAAAAAGGCTTAAAACCAAAAAAAATTGATCGACATAACAGCAACAACAATAATCGATCCAGGATGAAAAAAAACCTTGATAATTTCCAAAAATAATCTATTATTATCCACCACCACCACCACCACCACCACCAGTACCCAATGACACATGATTTTCTAACAACAATAGCTAGAAAAGAAGAATCAATCATACGACATTTTTATTTATAAACCGATTGATAGAAATCAGACATTATTATACACAACATACCAGCTGACAAACAAACAAAATATGGACGGATATTATCATCATCATTATTACAACAACAACAACAACAACAACAACAACAACAACAACAACAACGACAAACGAAAACGAAAATCAATCCCGGGTAAAAGAAACAATTTGCATTATGCGTCAATACTAATTTGTTTATACAGCGTGTGTGTGTGTGTGTGTGTGTGTAATATTGAAATTGAGACCAGAAAATCAAAAAAAAAAAAAAAAAAATTCAATTTACAATGAATACTATGTACTACAAAGTATTGGATCATCATCATCATTTTGTTTGTTCGTTTGTCATATCGATAAAATGTTTTTGTGCTTTTTTTTTGTTGATCCAAAATGTTTATCGCCTGAATGATGAAATATCAGCGGCCATATCTCTTTATGTGTGTGTGTGTGTGTGTGTGTGGGATGCATTTTTTTTTTTTTTTTTTGCTGGTGCATCAAACATCAATCAAATTTGATTGATAATATTGGATAAATGGTTGTTTGCAACCACAACAACGATGACGATGATGTACATATGTATGGAACAAAATTTTTATTAGAAACGAATATGGTGAACAATCGAGAGAAAAAAAAACGAATGACCCGGAATTCCATAATTTATCTTTAAACATTTATATTCTGACTATTTGTTGTTGTTGTTGTTGTTATTCCTGCTGTTTTTTTTTTTTGCTATCCATCCATCTATTTATTCTATATCCAAATTTTGATCCAATTCATTAGAATCAACTTGATGTTTGTGTGTGTGTGTGTATATGTATGTGCAAACAAGTTCAAGTGTGTGTGTGTTCAAACAAGTGCAAGTGTAAAAGGAAATTATTAAGAAGGGAAAAAACCGGAATCGAATAAAAACTGAATTAATGAATGGATAAGAATTGACATGAAATGAAAAATGAAAAAAAAATTTAGCTGAATTTTTTACGACAACAACAACAAAACAACAAAAACACCAACTACAATCAAATGATTGTTGCAATTTCATTCATTCATTCATTTTAATTCTGCAAAAAATAATGACAACAACAAAAACAGATTAAATAGTGACAATTTGAATGAAATGTGAAAAAAAAATTCAACAAAACATGTACCGGAATAATTTTGATCAATTCTTGGCTCCTTGCTTTTTTTCTGTCAACAGAATTTTATTATGTGTGTGTGTGTGTGTGTGTATGTGTGAGAATGACGAGAGAAAGAGAAATGAATATCCATTTCAAAGAGAGAGAAAAAAAAATTCCATTACCGTACAGAATTTTTTAAAAAAAGGACATAAAATTTTATTTATGTGAACAGAATTTAGATTTTATTTTGTTTTGTAATTCTTGTGTATCTGATTCTATCGTCATCATCATCATCATCATCATCATCAGCGAAACAATTTGATTCAACAATGATTCACATCATTTATATATAAAAAAAACAAAACGAAAACTTGAATGAATCGAAAGTTAGTTAGTTTTTTTTTTTGGCACATGATTCTGATTTATATGATTGTGTGTTTGTATAAATATAGCCAATCTATTGATTTGAATTCGATTTATATCCATTGTTTTGGTTTTTGTATTTTTATTTTCACTATTGGATAAAATGATACATGTAATTTGAATGGAAACCATACAACAAACAAAATAAGCCAACGAGAAAAAAAAATCCGAGATCAAGAGATGAATAAATTTGGTTGGATAAATCAAACACATGAATCCGTACAAATGAACCTGAATTCTGAATTCTGAATATCTGAATGAATGAAGTGAATATATTCTTTTTCTTTTTTCTTTTTCGGTTATATTAACTTGCACAATTTCCAACGACTATTTTCCTATAGGAATCAAAAAAAAATTCTATTTTAAATTTTCTGTCAATTTAGTTTTTTTTTATTTCACAACAACAACAAAAAAATTCAACAAACGTAATCGATACACAAATAATGTGCTCATTTTATCGCACACAAAATACACACACGAATCAACGAATTTGATTGCCACCACCGCACAAACATTTTCATATACACAAGAGAGAAAGAAAGAGAGAAAAAAAATCGATCAAGCAGCAAAAATTTTCGGGTTTTTTTTTATTTTGGCATTTATTTATTTATTCATGATTTCCATTTGGACAATTTTTATTCAATTTTCTTCAAGGCCAGATTATTGACTTACATTTTTTTAAAAAAAATCGGAAAATGAAAAGAAAAACGAAGAATTTTGTTCTTCGTCAATGGGAAAATAAAACTCTTTTTGTTGTTGTTGGTGTTTTTTGGGTATAAAATTTATTTTACAAAAACAAAATACAGCAAAAAAAACGTCGGATCAATTTTTTCGTAGATAATCTTTCATTTTTGCTGACCATTTACCAAAATGAATGGATGATAATTTTGTCAGACTTGTTGCCGTGGTTGATGATGATGATGATGACGATGACAGCCTATGGTTATTCATCAATTTTTCATCATTCAATAATTGTTTATTACCACCGTTTGTTAATCCTGAATTGTTATTGAAATTTTTTTGTTTCAATTCTAAATTTCCATTGATTTTTTCAATGTCATTGAACTTTATTATTGATTTTTGTTCATCATCATCATCATCACCATCATGATCGTCTTCATGATTAATTCCATTATCATTCTGATTGTTAATATGGATATTCATTGAAAAAATCGTACCATTAGTATCAATTAAATTATCCATTCTATTTGCATTATAATTCATTGTTTTTACTGGCGTCTGGATCATTGATTTCATTGATGGCGGATGTTCATTATGATGATGATGATGATTGACGACAGATTGATATGACAGTCGACTGTTATTATTAGTATATTGATGATCAATTAATAAATTGTTTTCATTATTTTCCTTGTTATTTATAGTAGAATTGTTATAGAATTTCATTTCATTCAGGTTATTCACCGTGTTTGGTTGTGAAGATTTTCTTTTACTACTAAAGTGATGCTGCTGCTGCAGCTGCTGCTGTTGGCCACTAATTGAATCTTCATTAGTGGTCGTTGAACGTCTTGCATTGGTTTTCAATGTATCACAATCATCATCATCATCATTATTAACATTCTTATGGATCATTTGCCAATAATAATGTTTCAATGGTTCATATTTTGTACTAATCCTACGGATCAATTCTCTTTGATATTCATTTAATGATGGTTTCTGTTGCAAATATTGTTCAGGCGCCATTATCATTTGTGGTGCTTGTGATTGCCAATTTGATGGCCATGTATGTGGATCATCTTCACAATAATTTGTTGGCGTTATCGTGTCGTATTGTGGGGATATATCCGCAGGGAGTATTTTTCGTTCTTGAAAATGAATCAGTAATAATTTTGAAATTTGTTCATATTCTTCTGATGATAATTGTTGCTGTTGTTGTTGTTGTTGTTGTTGTTGTTCATGTTCATTGAATTTCTGTTTTTGCTTTGTTGTTGTTGTTGTTGCTGCTGTTGTTGTTTTCATAATCGGTCGATCTGTTGATGATGAATATCTTGAAACATTATCATATAATGATGATGATTTAGAAATATTTGATGATGAAATTTTTAATTTTGATTTAAATTTATCATCATTGTTTGGATCATGATCACCGGTAGTAGAAACAGCAGCAGCAGCAGCAGCACCAATATCGATCATTCGATTCAAACTTGGCGATGATGATGATGATGATAATAAAATTGATTGATTTTTACGATTTTCATCTTTTTGTTGACAATGATTATTATAATAATGCTGATGATGATGATAATGTTGTGGCTGCTGTTGATAATGTCGTTTATTATGTACACCATCATTACCGTATGTATTCGAAATGTTGATTGATTCCATCATCATGGTGTTTTTTTTTGTGATATTTGCATTAATCAATTTGGCATATGAAAAAATGTTTTTATGGATCATAAATTAATTTTTGAAATTAAAATTTGCAAAGTAAAAAAAAGGCACACACACAAACAAACAAACAAACAAAAATGAAACTCCAAAATTCAATCAATCGAATGATCAATAAAATTTAGTGTACAACAATGAGGATAGCAAAAAAAAAACTGACAACGACAACTTTGACAAACAGAAAATGTTATCAAAAAAAAAAAAAAAAGTTTGTGTGTTTTTTTTCTCTTGGTTGGTCGGATGATGGTTGTGTGTGTGTGTGTGTGTGTGTAATTTACATACGAAAACCAATAGAATCTATATTACCAAACAAACAAAAAAAATGGAATCAAACAACAACAAAAACATTTTGTTGTTATATACAGTATGCTTGTACGACAAAACGAAAAAAAAACAACGACAAAGTCGATGGCAACAAGGACACCACAGACATACACACACACACACACACACACACAATTTAATTCGACAATAAATATTCAGCTCAACAACATTAAATGTTCAACAATGATGATGATTTTGATGATGATTAGGATGATGATGATGATGATGATAATGGTGAAAATGATAAAAATGAAATGAGATGAGATCAACAACGAATCCACTATAGTGAAGAAACCAAATAAATCCAGCAGCATTCATTCACGAAGAAAGTGTGAGAGAAAGAGAGAGAGAAAAAAAATTCTTGAATTATATTTGGCTTGCCATTTGGTTGTTGTTGTTGTTGTTGTATTCCATCGTCATTCACGCCTTTGAATGGCGCCGGCGTCAGCACAGCCGCTTCTGCTGCAATTATGCTGCTGCTGTTGCAGCTGCTGCTGCTGTTGTTGTTGTTGTTGTTGTTACTGGTGTAATTTAATCTTGAAAAAAATTATAGACAAAAAAAAAGAATGAAATGAAAATCAAAACTTGTAAAACAAATGAACATCAACAATTGGAATGGCCAAATTCATCATAGAAGTGGTCATTTTTTTTTGAAATTGGAGAATTTTTTTTTTTCATTTTGTTTGATGAAAAAGAATTCCAAAAATTTTAATCCAACCAAAAAAGTGATGAACATTGTTGTCACAGATTATTTTTCGGTCATTTGTTTGTCAACTAGCCAAATTTTTTATTGTTTTTCTTTTATGAACAAAAAAAAAATTGAAGAATTTCCAATCAAAAACAACAACAACCCAATCCGAATAGATAAATCCAACAAAAATTCGATAAAGAACATATGGACAACGAAATTGATCAAAAAAAAAAAAAAAAAAAATAGTTATCCACGTTCAATATAATATATATAACGATCAATCGATTTACACATAATCTCATCATCAGAATCAGAATCTGAATCAGAAAAAAAAATTCTCCACCCAAATGCTCACACACACACACACGCAACAAAAAAAAAATAATCAAAATGACACTTGAATGCGAATTCTGTTTTTGTGGTTTTTATATACAACGTAATTCACATAATAATAAAACCACCAGATCAACCAAACGAATTGAAAGATTGGTGGAAAAAATAGCCAAACACAAAAAAAACTTTCAAATATCGTCGCCGTCGCCGTCAGTTGACATACATTTTGTGCGACACACAACTACATTGTCACACACACACACACACACACACACAGTACATTGTATTTAATTCAAAGTGAGACAAGAATAAAAAGAAAAAAAACTTTATAGTGATGAAATTGCAGAAAAAAAAGAGGATTAATGTTTATTACACATACACACACACACACACACAAACGTTATTGTTATGTAATATTGATTTCGATGGTTTTAATAATCTTATATTAATCGATCGATATTAATAAGTCAAAAGTAAGTATTTACTGTCGTTGTTATTAGCATAACCAAAATCTATCTATATATATGTCATTAGGCCATCGCTATTGCTTTCTATTGATGATGATCGGCGATTGATTGAAGAATATTTTTAAGAAACATACACAGACACAGACACACTGTTGATGTTTTGTGGTTGTTGTTGTTGTTCAAAACGATTGGAAATCTACAAAAATTTGCAGTAATTATAATCAATGAATAGATAGGGTAGAGATGGATTTCTGTTGTTGTTGTTGTTGTTGTTGTTTTTATGGTTGTAAAAAAAACTAATTTTATATGTCATTATCATCATCGTAAAGCGAAATATAGCCGTCATCACATACGTCATTTATTCATTTGTGAATGCCTAAATTTGATGATGAATCGTAAACAAAGCAACCACAGCGATAGAGAGATAGAGAGAGAATTCTGATTTGATTGAAACTTTTATTAGATGATAAATCTGATTTCCAAATAATATACGATTGGAATATATGTGCATAGAGAAAATTTACATTGGAATTTCGTTTATTGTATGAATTCTACAGAATTTTTTTTTTTTTATTTTTTTTCTCCGATTGCCCGCAATCGTTATTCTACGCCATTCATTCGTCCATTTCATCAAAAAAAAAAAAATTTATTATTATTCTGCAATTGAAACACAATTCAATTGCAAAAATCGTATTGATTGATAATGAAAAAAAAAATTTTGCGCCATTTCTCGTTTTAGAATGTTGAAAATGTTTTTTGAATTCGAAATTAATAATTATATCTACCGATTGACCATTAGAACTGAATGAATGTTTTCTTTTCATTTTAATTGAAAATATACGAATCGCCAAGGTTAAATTTCAACAATTTTGTTAGTGTTTTGTTCCTTTTTGATAGTTTCGTTTTAGTGCACTAATTAATTTTAGTGTTGCCAAACTTTTTTCTTTCTTTCTTCACATATGATGAATATTATAGACCTGATATATTATGATATGCAGTGCTTAGGTGCAATCGCCACCAATGGGCAAATAGAGAAAGCGAGAGAGAAAAAATGTTTGAAACAATCAATCAATCCATTAATCGATCGGTTGGTCGATCGAAAATAAAATAAATGATGATCAGAATGAATGAAAATATTACCTATTACCATCAACCCTCTGACTCTATATGCATATATTATGGATTTGAAATTCAAAAATTAATCAAAAATATATGAAATCTATCTATCTATATGTAACATGCAACATCATTACAATTACAGATTGCATTCATGGAACACCTACATACAAACACAATTTATATTTTTCTTTGATTCGATAAATATATTAGGATGATGATGAGTTCATTGCATTCATTTTTATTCAAGTTTTAATTATTTTATTTATTTTTTTTTATCTTCAAAATTTTAATTACAAAAAAAAAACAACAATTACACACACATTGCCATCTAGCGATTAAGATTAAAACATTTTTCATTCATTATAATTATCGATAGATGGCGTACAGAAATTTTTTTTTTTTTTTTTTAATATAAACAAATTGGCCTGATTTGTTCCATCGTTCAACTGTGTGTAGTTTCATTGAATTGAATTGAATCTCTCTATGAATGTGTGTGTGTGTGTGTGTGTATACAATATACTTGTTTTTTAGTTATTCACAATAAAAATGAATTTCACGCATACACTAAACACACACACACAATGAACTCTTATGGATGGTGATCATGATCATCAAACGAAATGAAAAAGAGAAAGAAAATAAGAAACTCAATATATACACAATACGAATACGCCCAATTTCTTTAAATATAATAATAATAATAATCATTTAATGACAAAATTGCCGATTGGCTTATGGCTTAAACCACACACACACAAAACGAGAGAATAAAACGTACACATCAATCAAATCAAATCAAATTTAACTAATCCTGATTGCCTGTTATCATCATCATCATCATCATCATGATCATGAAACTCAAATGATGATCACTTCATTTTGGAATAATTTTTTTCCCTTTTTTTTACCATAATTATTCGTTTGATGATGATGATCAAAAAATCAAGTAAGTCATTTTCTTGAAACAAAGTATCTTTTTAAAAAAAAAAACTCAAATTGTACTTGTTTCACTCAAATGAACCTGTTGAATGTTGTTGTTGTTGTTGTTTTCTATTTTTGTTGTTGAATGTGTGAATTATTTTTATCACTCTTTCTTTCTTTTTTGTTCTTAATAAAAATCGAAAATAGTTTGACCTTCACAGTCAGTATAATATTTGGTACAATCCATCACCATCATCGTAATCAACAAGAAAATTTTCGTTTTTTTTTTTTTGGCAACAGAAAAAAATCATCATCATCATTGGTTAGTTTTTCGTATGATTATATATGTTTTATGTTTCCTAATTTTTTTTTTCGTTTTTTTTCCTGCCTGACCAGAAACAAACATCAAATCGAATCAATTTTTTTTTCAGTATGTGCCCATTATTCATCCACATTTGAATGTCAAATGTTTATCGATCGTCGATTATTATGAGTTATAAATAAAAAAAAAATTTATGCTGAATTGTTTTGTACACACACACACACATCTCCACTGACGTCAAAGTACATCCTCGTCATCATCATCAAATCCATGACCAAATTGGTTATTTGTTTTCGACAAAAAAATAAATAAATTCTAAAATTGTTCAAATAGATGGATCGATTATTTTTATAGATCGATAGATAGATAGATAGTTAGATTCATCAAATAAAATTACAAATCTCGATGATTAAATCGTCTATAATTGCTAGAAATAAAATCATGCCAAAGAAGAAAATTAAATTGAGTAAATTACGTGATTATACGTTGAAAACAAATGATCGTCATCATGTACCATTACCAACGGGAAAATATCAGAAAATTGGTTGCCGTGATCTGATGATAGGATTATCACGAAAAAGTGGAATACTCACACGTTTATATTATCCGGCTAAAACTGATCCTGGAAAACAATATGAAATGAATCCATTTTTGTGGCCAAATTGGTTACCGCATGAATTTTATACACAAGGTTATGCTGATGTGGCCAATATACGGTCAAAATTTATGTTTTCAATGGCCAATAAAACACGAAAAAAGAATGTTTTCATACCTGCCGTACCAAATGCACGGCCACATCAATTGCCTGTTGGTCAAAAATATCCGATTGTAATATTTTCACATGGTCTTGGTTCATGTCGTACCACTTATTCAGCAATCTGTTGTGAGCTGGCTTCACAAGGATTTGTTGTCGCCGGTAAGATTATCATATTCGTATTCGTAAAAAATTTCAAATTTTTTTTTTTGGTCCATCTAGCCTTAGAACATCGTGATAATTCGGCATGTTTAACATTCTATCCAAAACGTCCAACGTATTCATTTAAAAATTCGAATCCAGATTTTTTCAATCAAATCGGTGATCAAGTTGATGCCGATGATGAAGTTGATTTTGGTGATGAAATCGATGATCCAAATTATATACCACCAAAAGCATTAACGGCATTGACACATATACCACATCTAGAATTGGCTTGGATTCGTTTCCGTTATGTAAGCGTATTTCGTGCCGACGATGATGTATTGGCGTTTCGAAAAAAACAAATTCAACAACGTGTTCGTGAATGTACACGTGCTTTAGATCTAATGGAAGCATTAAATGCTGGCTATGAAATTGATAATCTTCTTGATCCAGGATATAATTATCGTGAATTTGAAAATATGCTTGGTATATAATGAGATTTTGTTATCTTTTTGTTAATATTCAATTATTCTATCTAATTCCATAGATATGGATCGTGTATCATTAATGGGTCATTCATTTGGTGGCGCAACAGTATTGATGGCCGGTGCATCTGAATTACGTTTCAAAACTATTATTGCGCTTGATCCATGGATGTTTCCAATTAAAGATGAAACATTAGATCTAATACCGCAACCAGTATCGATGATATTTTCGGAAAATCTTTCAAAAATACCAAATACAAAATCAATTGATGAATGGCTTCGATCAGATGTTAATAATGATTATGGTGATGATCGTAATGCCATCATTATAAATGGTAGTAATCACCTGCAACAAAGCGATATACCATATGTATTCAGTGCCTTTAATCGAATATTCAATACATTCAGTTGGCGTAATCGTATCAATCCGATCATGGTGCATGATTTAACAACAAATTTATCCATACAATTTATCGGCAAACATTTAGGTAAATCAAAAAAATCAATCAAACAAACAAATTTATCTAGTGTTTTTTTTTTTTTGTTGATTCGCACTCGTGTTTGTGTAAAACAACAAGAAAAACCTGATTTTGTTTTACCGATTTTTTGTTTGTTTTCTATCCAACCTTTAACAAATTGATGATATGAATGTTGTTGATCATGTGATCATCATCAACAACAATCATGCAACGGAAAGAAAATCATCACCATAATCATAATCATAGGCAAATTAATCACATGATCTATCACACGGTGGTGACTTGTATATAAACACACGTATCACACCGTTTTTATCTTTTTTTTCGTTGAAATAACTTTTTTTTTTTTTTTTTATTATGCGATATATATACTACACTGCAGATATTCCTATCGATGAACGTATCAATCAATATGTGGATGAACAACGAAAACATTTACGGCCATTGATTAAAAAAAAGACTATATAAAATCGAATCCAATTCCAGCCGCTGCCGCTACTATTCAATCAATCAATCAATCAATCGATCCTTGATTAGACACAATCATTGTATATTTTTTTGTGATTTAAAATCAATCATCACAATCTAACAAAAACAACAACAACAACAACAGAAATTTTGTGACAACATTTTTTGACATTTTTTATTTTGAATATATTAAAAATGATAAAAAAAATTCGAAAATTCACAAATGAATTGAAACAAAATTATATATGTTAAATAAATGGGAAAATAAATAATGTGTGTGCGTAGGTGTGAAATTGAAATCCATTCAATGACAATAACCAAAAAAAATGATGATGATGAATTTAAATAAAGTTTGAAACCAACAAAAAAAACAATGATTTGTTAAGTTTGTTTTTTTTCCATTTGATTTTTCAAAGATTTAAGTATTTAGTGATCGATCGTTCGATCGATTGATTGTTTGATAGATCGATCAATCTGGGGAAAAAAATGTGTAATTTTGAATTGTGTAAATGATATTAATATAATATAATAATTTAAGATGAAAAATTTGGCAGAATAAAATTAAATAATAGGAATGATAATGATGAATGTGTTGTGTGAATGATTGATATCTGCAGTTTTGTGCGTGTTTTTTTTAATGTGCAAAACAAAAAAAACAAAGGAAAATCGGTGGTAAGTATAGAATAAGGATGAAATTTGGATTTTTTGTTTGAAAAAAATTCAAATTGAAACATCAATGCTGATGATGATGGTGATGAATTATTTTTTTGATTTTTTTCTTTGTTCAACATCCAAATCATAATTGACAAAACTGATACAATATTCACGTACACCATCCAGATTTAGGCAACAAAGATAGAATGCATCTTCACTACCTGTCCATTGGCCACATTGTGAACACATTGTATAATTTTCATTTGAACCGCATGGATTTTTTTCCGTCATTTTTTTCAATACATTTTTCCATTCATCATTTTCGGCTGTATATTGTTCTTGCTGTTGTTGATTATTAGACAACGTTGTTTGTAATGTTGATGATGATTCTTCATTTAAATCTTTTAAATTCATCATCGGATTACATAATACCAATGTATTTTTATCATTTTGATTGATAGTTAACATTATTATGGCTGTAATCAACAGGCTAGCCATAAATGACATGTTTGTTCTTGTTATTAAGATCATTATTTGTTGTATGAATGATGAATGATGATTCATTTTGTTTTAATAGAAAAAAAAGCGTGAAGCAATTTTTTGAAAAATAAAAATAAATAAAGAATTCACACACACACACACACACACACACAGGTAAATGATAATCAATATGATAATGAATGTTCAACTCTGTGTAAGTAATAATAAATTAAGTATATATAAGTAAATGGTGATGATGAAAACGAAAATAGAAAAAATTCAATCTTGATATTGGTCAACAAAAACAAAATATTCACGTAAGAATCGTAATGAATTAATTTTTGTTGTTTGGTTAACTGTTACCAGATACGATGATGAATGATTTTTGAGATCATGGATTGATCATCATACGCTTTTTATATCGATTATGATGATGATCAATACATCGAAGAACACACACACACACACACACACACATTCAATTTACAATGAAATCAAAAAAAAAAAAGATAAAGACACACAACATCATCATCTATTAATGTTTATGGATGGTGTGTGTGTGTGTGTGTATTATATGGGACGATCATTGCACATTAAACACACATTAAAAAAAAAACGAAACATCAATGATGATGACGATGAACATTTTTATTCGTTTTTGACAATTTTTTTTTATTATTATTTCGATCAATGTTAATGGTGGTAATGACGATGATGGTGGTGGTGGTGGTGGTGGTTGTGGCCGTCAATATATCATGTATGTATGTGGTGTGTGTGTGTGTGTGTGTGTTTCAAACACCATCATCATAATCATCATATTTGATACATATATTATTGGGTATATTGCCATCATTCATTCATTCATTCATTCATTGTTTATATATTTTGTATACAGGGGCCGACAAATGAAAAATTTTTATTTTCTTTCTTTTTTTTTTTACTTGAAATCGATGATCATCATGATAGGATTATGTGTGTGTGTGTGTGTATGGCATACACTGACACTAGTTGCATTTTGAAAAGTCTTTTTTCTTTTTTCTTTTCTTTTTGTTTCGCGACAGATTTGAATTTTTGCTGTTGTTGTTGTTGTTGTTGTTTTTACTCAGTCTGAAAAAAATGAATAAATAATCGATGCTTGAAGTGAAAAAATATTGGATAAAAATAGCAAGGTTGAACAAAAAAAAAAATTTAAATTGAAAATTTTTTTTCATTTCATTCAATGGATGTTTGAAACAAAAACAAAACACACCACGCATCATCATCACGATGTGACAATCATCATGTGATCACAAGATAATAATCATGATCAAGATCATTGTCAATCAATGAATAAATTTTGATTAATTTTTAAATTTTAAACTAAAAATCAAATGTGGATCTGAAATCATATTGTCTTCGTTTTCAAATTTGAATATATGGAACGATAATTTTTTTTTTTTTTTGTTCATTTCGTTTAAAATTTTCAAATTTGACATTGATATCGGTATCAACATTGATAATTGAATGGTGAAAAAAAAAGAAAAAATTTCCGTTGAAAAAGTAAAAGTAAAACAAAAAGTGAAAGTAAAAAAAAAAAAAAAAAAGAAAAAGCTGTCTCCTAAAGATAGATTATTTTGCCCAAAAGTTGATTGGTAAAACAACAGCAACAACAATAAAAAAGAGAAAGAAAGAAAGAAGAAAATCAAAATCAGAGCATCTCATTTTGAATTCATACACCGCACCCGCACACACACACACACACACATGAATATTATCTGAATTAATCAATACGAGACGATGGCGGCAAAGATGTCTGCGACAAATCATTAATAATAATAATAACATATATATTGGTTAATTGAACCAACAATAAATGTATGAATGAATGAAAATGAGAATACTCACTTTACGTAGAAAAAGTTCAAACACTATATCTTTCAAGGACAACAACAACGAAATACATTTTCTGCTCAATTCCAATTTTTTTTCTTCTTCTCTTCTCGCTGCGTGTTTGTTTATTTTCATTTCACTGACAGAAAATAAAAATGAAAATAAATAAATACAATTCTTCAGATGTTTTTAGGAAGAAAAATAATAATAATAATTTCCAAGCCCAGACAATATATTATTTTCAAATCATACAATCATAGAATGAATTAATCGAATCATCATCTAGATCTCATAAATTCCAATTAATTGATTGATTTTTAATGTCAAAAATTTTTTTTTTTTATTATTGATTGATTTTTTCCACAGAAACTCAATCAATCAATCAATCAATTAATTGACTATACTACTCTATATATTTAATGATGAAAAATTGCATCAGCATTATATTATGATGATTATGATCAAATGATTGCAATAACAATAAAATTTTTTACACTATATGACGATGAATATGTTTGGATTTTGGCTATTTTTAACTTTTTAACAATTCTGGCTCTGTTTTTAGTGTTTTCTTTTTTTCGTTCATGAAATGACGACGAGAACGCAATAATAATGATGATTGCACACACATACACATGCACAATCATAAAAAAAATGACCGATGAATGACGCGGAACATCAGCAACGTTTGTTCAACGTAATCATCATCATCATTTGAGGTCAATAAATTGTGATAATGATGATGATTACGGTCATGGTGTAATCAGTGTGCAAGATTTTTTTTCTTTCAATTTCAATGACAATATATCGATTCAATCGATATTTTTATTATTTTGTTTCAACAACGAGAAAAAAAAACCGGCAACAACAAGTTATCTTACAATACAGACATGTGGTTTTTTTTTCGTCGTTGTTGTTACATTTCATTGATTCATTGATTCATTCATTCATTCATTCAAAAATTGTTTCTTCTGTTGTTGTATGGTTGAGAAAAAAATGAAATTAATCACCATATATATAAAATATATCGATTGCAATCATTGCAATGATGCGAATGACCATTTTTGAATGTGAAAATCCGTATGAATAAAACAAAACAAAAAAAACCATTTCACTTTTCGTCTAAATATTGAGTGAAATTTAGCTTCACACACACACAACAGTCATAGATAGATTATGTGTCATGACATTTTACACAAAACAGAAGAATTTTTTTTTTTTTTTTTGGCAACCTGTTGCACTCATATCATCATGTTATTTATTGATTGAAATAATCGATAATCTTTCCTTAGAATGTTGATTGATATTATAATTGGATGATGATGATGAAACTTTGGACTTTTAGGACGAAATCTTTTTTTTTATGTTGGAAAAAAAGTAGATGATTTGAATTGAATAAACTTTCATTGTGTGTGTGTGTGTGTATGATTTTGTGAACATTTGGTATTTATTAGTAGACGAGTTGCTAAGGCAAGATTTTCCATAACGAAACGAAATGAATGAAATACAAGCACCAAATTCAAATTTAATTTTGATTATTTAATCTCCTATATTTTACGATATATATCACACGCACACACACACACACAAAGATTTGGATGATTTTCTTTTAGTGTTTGCACTGTTGTGATTAAGATTTTTGATCTTTTTTTTCACTTGATATATATATATATATGATGATGATGATGATTATCTATCGCTTACTTTTTTTTCATTTTGATTTTTCCCATCAAAGACCTTGGCGTTTGAACACATCTCTTGTTCGTTCGTTCGTTCGTTTGTTTGTTGTTTTATGCCAAATTTAATGCTTTGCCAAATTTGATAATCAATTTTTTGATTTTTTTTTTAATATGCGAGAGAAAAAAAAACTTTTTTCTTTTTTTTCTTTTCATCATACAGTACGATGATTCAATTTACAAACAAGTTATTTTGGTTTTTTTCCTCACCAAAAACCATCATCATCATCATCATCGTCATCATTATCGATTGAATGAGAAAAAAAACCATGACCTGAATCTTGTTTTGGTGAATTTGGCCTTTTTTTTCAATTCAAAATGAAAATATCAAAAATTTTTTTTTTCTTTCACTACGACTAGCGATCATTGATCGATCAGAAAGAAAAAATTAAATTATCAAACAAACGATGATTATCGGTGGAAAGTTTTTTTTTCTTGCATGATGATGAGGAGTATGAAAAACATACACACACACACACACACACGCCATTTTTGTGAAGAAAATGAACACACAGCAAAACAGAAATTAAAAAAAAAACATCAGAATCATCAACAAAAAACGATTTATCCGGAATTGAATTATTTCCGCGAATACTGGCTATCATCATTTAAATACGTGGAACGTAGAAAAAAAAATCCAAAACAAAACAAAAATATGTTTGCATTTCCGATTTTGATCAAACACACACACACATAGAATAATATAATACTGTTTTATTCTCTGGAAAATTTAGATTTTTCATTCATTCATAACAATAACAATGATATTCATTCGCATTTCAAAAATGGAAACATGAAAACATTTCATAATAATTTTTTCACTATAATAATCTTGATAAAACAAAACAAAAAACAAAAAAGTTTTCAGTCTATTTTTGTTTTCGGTTTTTTTCGGCCTGAAAATGACGGAAACATTTTTGTCATGTGTGTGTGTGTACATTATATCAAGTTTTTAATAATCCGGATTCGAAAAATAATTTTGTTTGGCCATCAGGAAATTAAAAGGATTGATTTTTTTTTCTTTTTTTTTTTCTTCCGAATCATTCAAACAATGGTACCATTGAATGTTTGATTATTATTGGCTGTCGATGCAGTTGTATTGGTTGGACCAGTTGTAGTTGAATTTGTTGTCTGTGACATTTTTGTACTCAATTCTTCTTCACTTGGTGAATCGATACAAATCTGTACGATATCTTGATTTTTTAAATTTTTTTTTTGTTGATCATCCTGATTCACTTTATTATTATTAATGGATTGTTGTACAGATAGATTACCATTATAATTTTTTGGCACTGTTATAGCAGGCAATATTATACAATCATCATCACTATCAGTATCATCATTATTATTTACATTATCACTATTTAGTCGTTTTTGTTGTTGTTGTTGTTGTTGTTCATCATCATCATCACCATCGTCATTGTTATTGATTTTAGATTCAATCATTAATGTTGGTAATCGATGACCAGTACGACGATTAATAATTGTTGATTTTTTTTGTTGTTGTTGTTGATGATGATGATTTTTCGTTTTCGACGACATCTCAGATGATGATAATAATGATGTTGGTCGATTTTTCATTCCATGTGGACGAACATTACTATTATCGACAGACATGAAATTTGTTTTACATTTTAATTTACCTAAACGTGGTGATTTATTACGATTAAATCGATGACAATTGTTATATAAACGTTCTTCAATATTATCATCAACATGAAGTGATACACGTGATGAATTTGATGATGTAGATGATGATGATGATGATGATGATGTAGATGTGGAATTAGATGCTGAAGATGTTGATCTAGATGATTTAATCACATCATTTGTTGTTTGGGATAATTGTCTTGTTGAATCAGCAATACTAAGCATACTGATACCATCAACGGCACTAACTTTGAGACCACCACCACCACCACCACCGATACCACCAATACCACCAGTTAAATGACAACTACCACCACAACCACCATCATCGCCATCATCGTAACCATTATTATTATCATCATGAGAATTATTTTTGTTATTTTTTTTCTTTTTTCTTCGCATAGGTGATTTAGATCTCATGGAACTGGCACGATTCAAAAACATTTTCTTACTATTCACTGGACTTGGTTTGATTATAAAACTAGAGTAGTGGACAATTAAAAAAAAATGGGGGGAAAATGAGAATTTTTTTTTTTGATTTCTGGCAGAAAAAAAATCGCACACACACACACAAAATTGATTTGTCTTACATAATATCACCTTCTTCAAGTTTAAGATCACAATTTGGATTGATTATAACATAGGATAGTTCTGTTCTTTTTTCCGAACAATTATCTAAGAATTGAAAAAAAGAGGAAGAGAAAGAGAAATGAAAATGACAATTCTTTTTCTTTATCTATGAACAATTCGACTAACCATAATCATTCGATGGTATTCCAAGATCTTGAAGACGATTTCTAACTAGATTGGATATCTCTTGTCTTTCCACTTCATATGTAAGTGCCTGATAATTGATCTGTTCAGTCAATGGTAACATGAAATCAAATGAAATCTGTATGCCCTACATATTGAAATGATAAAAAAAATCAATATTTTTTTGGTTAATAATCAAGTGATCCAAATACCGTTCCAATATCATTTGAATGTGTACTTTGTGTACGATAAATACCGATTGGTATTTCACAAGTAGTTGAACAAAGACGTTGATAAAGTCGGCCATAAGTACGTATCCATAGATCATCTTTTGTGATACGCATCGATGAAAGAAATCCAGATCCAGGTGCTTGATCAATGCCCAATAATAAACGAATAATTGTAATCATATAATCCTTGACAAATGCTTGATATAGTAATGTATCCAACATTGATGCACTGAATACATTGCCAGCGGCAAATGGTAAACGAAACATGTATGATATATGTGAACCACGTTCACGTTCATGCTAAATATAAACATAAACAACAATAATTAATGTGAGTGATAGAAATTCGAAGAATCATATTTTGATTCGATTTTTACCTTTTCCATTTTTGATAATGATAATGCATAAATATCATGTGCACGAAATTGCATAAAACGCATATTACTTGATTGTGATAACTCGGTAATAATCCGTACAGATGAAAACATTTTAAACATTGTCTGTACAGCCACAATTGTATTACAATCTGATAGATAATCTTCTTCAGCTGAATTTGTTGTCTCTTTATTGACCACCACCACAGAATCGGCAAGATTAATTCCGGCTCTAATTAAATCATCAAGACTTTTTTTTTGGTTGTTTGTGGTTATAAAACAAAGAAAAAAAAATTAATCAATTCATTATCGATAAATCATTAAATCACTTACTTATCAATGCAGCCTTTCATCCAATAGACCAATGGAAACCATGAAATGGCATCAATAAATGCTAAACTAGGTGTCTTTTCCAATAACAATATTATTGGCCGTAAACTGGTTGGTTGATGAAAATGTGCACGTAATGGTATGATAAAATTATAGATACCATAACTAGCATAATCGGCAGCCAATATAATACATTTGATACCTTGCCAATCATAATCACGTGCATGAAAATATGGACAATGTTCACATGGCTATCATATAGTAATAATAATGGAAAAAAAGATCATTATCAGTAAATAATGACCACCAGAGTAGCAGTAAACAAAACAAAACAAAAAAAAAAATCAAATGAAATGAAACAAATGATCACACAATGATAATCGATATTCATTATTTTTTATTTTTTCTATCCAAAAAAAAAGTCAAACAAAACAAATAACTAGTCTTTAGAGAGGAAAAAATGACAATTTTGTTTTCCAGTTTTTTTTCTCTTTTCATTGCTCAAAATGGGTTTCTTCTTCTTTTTTTTTATTCTGTTTGTTTATTGTAAAACAAATGACCATCACACCATCACTATTATAGAATCGAAAAAAACCCGATTGATCAATTTGAATGATAAAGATAATTACATTGATTGTGGTTTTTTTTCTGGTTTCTATTCTATTCGATTCATTTTCTTTCTTCATTTATATATATATAAATAAAACCTATCAGTTTGTCGTTATTTATCACCATTCTCTACATCTGTATTCATTTATTTCTAATTTTAAAAACATCCCATTTGATGTCAAAAGTCAAATGATGACAAAAAAAAAATTTATATATATCGGTATATCCAATTGAATGATTTCCTAGTTTCACTATAGTTTATAATAAAATATATAACAAACACAACATATTATAAATACCATTGATATCTGAAGACAGCATGGTGGTTTTTTCTCCTTGAGCAAATAACATAATGTTGGCGATACACCAACATATGGTGACACTGGTGGAAATCCTTTGATGATCCTGATTGTTGTTTTCCAAACCGATCCAAAAAATAAAGAAAAAAAAGAAGAAAGAAAAATTCACTCAATAATTCATTGTAATACAATACAAATGGACAAACAATGACAACATACACACACAAACACAAGAATCAAGAATCGAGAAACATGAGAGAATACAAAATTCTCATTTGGGTTTTATTTTTATTTTTTTTCGTTTTGGTGATTAATCGATTGGAAAAGATTTTTGTGTTTTTTTATTTTTTTCTGTTCTAAGAAACAAGATCAAACAAGATTTTTTTTTTTTTTTTGGTTTGCATTTTCAATCAGATTCTCATCAGATTTCGAAATTTTTTTCTTGGAAGAGAATGTGAATGAATGAAAGCTAAAACTTGTCATCATATCGTGTGATATCCATGGATCTGAATCTGGATTTTTGATAGTTTTTTTTTTGACCGAAAAAAATCTTCAATTCTACACAATATTCTTGTTACGCAAAATACATTGATTGATTGAATTAAATGAGAAACAAGAATCATTTTAAAAAAATTTTTTATTATGAATCAAAAATCATCATCTACCAAAATGAAAAACTTTATCATTCTCATCCTGATGATGATCATTGATTTTCATTCATTCAATCAATTCGTTTTTGTTCGTTCGTTTTGTTTTGCTTTGTTTCGTTTCACCGATATATTTTCCTTTCTTTTTCTTTTGGGTAGATGATGTTGCTAAGTAATAATAACCAGTCGAGCAATGAAAGAAAATCAAATCAAATAATGATAAATTCTATAGCGAGTGCAATGAAAAGGAAAATCTTTTTTCTAGAGAGAGAGAGAGAGAGAGAGAGAGAGAAAAAAAATGAAAATAAAAAATCAAACCAAGCAAGCAAGCAAGCAAGCAAAAAAAGTAAGATCAAATTGAAATGTCAAAATTCAATGAAATGGAAAACAGAAAGTGGAAATAAAAATTATTATCATCATCATCATCATCTCGAGAGAGAGATTTTTTTCCTCTTGTTTCTCGTTTTTTTTTCGTTGTTTTCATTTTACCACGGAAACCAAATCTGATTCTCCATTTCTTTTGTCGTATATGAATAAAGAATTTTGCATGAAAAAGATAAAACGACAAAAAAAAATTTGTCATTTTTTTTCACCATCCCTCTTCTCTTCTCTTCTCGTCTTCCCACTTTCAATTTATTCAAACAATTCGACAATCAATGATGATGATGATGATGATGATGACAAATTGAATTTTTATCTCATCTTATCTTATTTGAAAATTGAATTCAATAGAAAAAAAAATTTCAAATTTTGAATTTGAATATTTTTTTCTCTACATCAACAATTTTGGTTCGGTTCTTGACCACACCACACACACAAAAAAAAAAAATTGCACAACACTGTGTTTGTGTTTATGGCACACATTTACCAGATGGCATGATGTGCCACACACACACACACTTACACAAACAAACGCATCAATAGTGGAAAATTTTCCATTGAAAATACATGGTTGATATGCAATAGGATGTGTGTGTGTGTGTTTATACTATAAATATATTGTAAACAAAAAAAAAAAATGACGATGAATTAAGAAAAATAAATATATCGTCGGTAATAATAATAATAAAAATATAATGAGAGATACATTTGTCAATAATATCGGTTAATGGAAAAGTTTTCCATTGATTTTGTTTGGAAGACAGAACGAAAAACGTGCAATAAAAAATAAAAAGATCAAAGTGTTTTTTTTCTCATTTCGATTTCATCCACTGAACCACATATCGGTCAACCAACTAATCAACCAAATGATCAAGTATTAAGTACAAAAATCTTAATCCGTAATGAATTTATAAAATCCACGAATAAAAATTAATGGATCAAAGGTTATTAGGTTATTAGTGTGGGGTAAAAAACTAAATGCAAAACAAAAACTTACACAGAATTTTCCACTGGAAATGTCCATTGATTTTCAGAATGACGATCCATTTGTTTGTTTGCAACATTTGTCACATCTTTTGATTGATTATTATCATTTTTTGATTCTGTAGGTGAAAAATTTGCTTCTTGTTGATCACCACCACCACCATTACCAACACATTGATCACTTGATTCTGTTGAACTTTCACTACTACTACTATCATCACCTAACATTGCTGGCACTGGTGCAATACTTGGTCTTCGGCCACGTGCAGCAACAACATCGTTTGTTTTTGTTGCCGGTGAACCAAATTCAATTTTAGGCACCTCTAAATGACTTAAATGTTTACCGGCTGTAACACGTTTCATTTTGGTTGCAAATTCAGCCACAGCACGTTTCAATCGTGTTGGTGATGAATCACGACGTTTTCCAAGTGCTAGATCAGATAAAAATAAACTGGATGATTTTCGTCGTAAATTACTAAATGAAAATGGATTTCCACTACTAGTTGTGCTTGTATTATCTTTTCCATTATAATCAGTAGATAATAGATGCATATCAGATCGATTATTGTCATTACGGTCATTCTGTAATTAAAAATCAATAGAAAAAAAGAGAGATGATACAAAATTGTCACAAAAAAATTTTTGTTTTGTTTTGTGTAATGATACAAACTTTTTTCGATTTTAATAAACCAGGTGATAATGGTGGCGGTGGTTGTGGTTGCATCAATGATGATGGTGATGTATCAACATTATCGATAATCATTTTAATTGTTGGATCATCATCATCATCATCATCATCATTATCATCACAACAGCTATCTTTGTGTCCATTATTATCTTCATCTTGATGATTATTATTGGAACAACGACAATCATCATCATCATCATTCAATAATTGCAGTGCAAGTTGTTTTGGTTGTTGTTTTGTTTCATTATTATTATTATTATTAATATTAATAATATTATCGGATCGTTGTTTCTTTCCATTATTATTATTATTATCGATATTGATTTTATTATTATTTTGATCACCACCACCACCACAACCACCACCATCATTACCGCTGCCACCATGGCCAACACCATTTGTAATTAGTTGATGATTACTACCGGCTAAATGTTGTGCACTAATCGATGATGATGTTGTTGTTGTCGGTACAAATGTTGAATTTTCTTCTTTAGCTATATTCATATAGAAACAAACATCCGAATGTTTCAATACATATGATGGTCCCGGATTTAACATTATTGGCCATGTACCATGCATATCGGTTTGTATGCCGATTAATGCAACACCGTATCTATAAAAAAAAAAAAAAATACAAAATGAAATGCGTGAGAAGAAAAAAAAAAAAAAAAGTTTTTTCTCTGTCCAGTCATCATCATCATCATGATTCATGATTCATTTTCATCATCATTTTCACAAATCATTAATGTTTTTGTTGATCTACTAAACTAAAAATAAATTGTCAACAATTGATTTATTTGTTGTTGTTGTTGTTGTTGTTGAATGATCAACAACAACATCTGAGTCCTTTCTCTCAGATCCAATATGGACAATAACAAAGTAAATTACTTTTTTTTCTACTTTTGTTGCTGCTGATATAAACCTTGCACATCAATAACAACAACAACAACAACAACAAAATAAACAAACAAACAAACAAACAAACTTCACCGATTATCATCATCATCATCAACGTGATGACCAAAAATTAATATCATTACTAATATCATCACAGGCGTGAAAAAAATTGTACCATCAAAAGCAAAACATCATGGGGGCGTCGAGAGAGAAAGAGCGAAAAAAAAGTTAATAAAGAATATTTTTCTCCCAGCAACCAAACACAAACAGCAGCAGATGCAATGGAATTTTGCATTCCAAACGAAATATCAAAAAAAAAAAAAAAAATCCCAAAGCTTGGAATTCTCTCATTGCTTTTCGTTTGTTGAAAGATTCAATTAACCAAAGTTTTCACATCATTTCAGTAGTAGCCATAATCAGAGGAATATTCATTAAAATGGGCGGTGTGTAAAGGGGTGTGTGTGTATGTGTTTGTTTAAAAATTATTACAGTTTGAAAAAAAAATACAGAATTACAAAGTTTTTTTCACTCTTTCTCCTCTCTTCTCTGTCGTCGTTTTAATCTTGATATGATTAATTTATAAACGAAAAAAAAAATTCATTCGTTTTATTTGTTGTTGTTGTTGTTGTTGTTGTTTGTATAAATTATTCACTCGTTGCTGTTGTTGTTGTTGATTTGTTGATTTGGATTTTGCATTGCAAATTTTGTTTTTCTACCTTTTTTTTCAAATAATTTGACAGCTACAACATGTACCAGCACCGTTATTATCATCTACAAATCCACCAACATCATCATCGATATCAACAACAGAATTTTCCAGATTATTTATTGTTTTTATTCTCTTTGAACATTCACGATTCTTTTTCTTTATCATTTTTTGTTGTTGTTGTTGTTGTACATTTTTCATATCTTTATTACTTTGACTTTTATTCGAATCATCATCAACGTTAGAATTAGCATCATTCATTATTATTGTCTTTACTGGATGTTGATCGTTATTAATTATCATTTTCATTTTTTCACGAATTTTATTCCATTCATCAATCTCTTTATCGGTGACACGTTTTTCTTTCACCATTATTTCCACCAATAATGATGGTGTATCCGATGGTATATGTTGTATATGATAATAATCATTATTTTTTCCACGCCATTGAAATTTTGTTGATTTTTGTTGCTGTCGCTGTTGTTGTTGTTGTCCGAGTTGTTGTTGTTGTTTCGGTTTACCACCACCACCAACACTAACTTTTGGACATTTAAAAATATGTTGATAATCACCCGGTGCAATCAATATAGTTGGTACATCAGAATCAACGTGTTTAATTTGATTATTAAAATCATCACCATCGACATTATTATTATTATTATTATTGAGATTTGATTGTTTTTTCGTCAGCAATTTTTTCGTTAACGATTTTAGCAATGAATTATTGCTACGTTTTTGACTTTTATTATCATTTTTATTCACTGCTGCTGTCAACTTTTGATCAAATACATTGGGCAATTTTTGTTTAAGATTTTTCGAAAATTCTTCAACAACCGGTAACAATATCGTTGCATCATCGGAACGAACTTTTTTCACCTGGTTTGTTTTCGTCACTATTGATTGTATTAATCGTGATTGTTGTTGGTCAACATTACTCAACGATGATGTTGATCTGGATTTTGATTGTCGTGATTTTTGATTTCGTTGTTTTTTGATTTGACTTTTTTTATTATTTTTTCGTTTACTAATCGATCTTTTATTGACTGACAATGTTTTCGGTTGTTGTTGTTGTCGTTTTGAATCATTATGATCATCATAATCGGTTTGTTGTTGCTGTAATCGAAGTTTCGATAATTTAATACCACTATCGGCTAAAACATATTCACCTTCTTTCACTACAATTGAATTTAATCTTGATGGTATACGTTTATTGATCTGTGTTGATCTATATAATGATAGATGATCATTCGTTTGACGACCACCACCACCACCACCACCATCATCATCATCATTTTTTGTTGACATCCGAACACCAACAGCAATTTATTTATGAATGTTTTCAGGTGAACAAAAATCACAATACCAAGATGATCAAAGTGGACAAAAAAAAATATCAAGTATTTCTTTGGTTGCCTTCAATTAAAAATAGTAATTCGTATGTGAAATGAAACCAATGCCAATAAATTAGAGAATTTTTAAATCATTTTTGTCATTGTTGTTGTTGTTGTTGTTTATTTGATTTTTTCCACTGTTCTAGAATTTCTTATTATTATTCTTTGTTGTTTGTCAATTTTTTTTTCACACAAACAAAATTTGACCTCGATTTTTTTCAATGAAAAAAATTTTTTTTTTTCACCACTTGATATATATTACACACACACACACACACACACATGCACATACATTTAATTAGAAATTACATTCTATATTCGTCGTCGGTAGGCCACTTCAATTGATTCAATATATTTTCATTATTTTTATTATTATTATTCTCAATCTATCATCACCAGATTCTTCATGGATTCTTTTATTTTCAAGTTTCAAGTAGTTTCAACAACAACAACAACAACAAAAAAAACGGTGAAAAATTTGACGTCGATCAATAATATATAAATCACAACAGCAGCAACAGTATACACACACACACACACACACACACAATTACTATTTCGATTGAAGTCAATTATATTTAGGTTTTTTTTTTTTTTTTTTTTTTTTTTTGGACAGAAAAAAAAGCCATTAGCCATTTTATTGTCTTGAAAATAGTGGCCAACAAGAGAAAAATTCGGCAAGACATTATTATTATTATTATTATTCTGGTGACTTTTATACTCAATGTGCACACACACACACTGGTAGATAGTGAAATTTCATTTACTTACTTTCGATGTGAATGAAATGAAGCATAGGTAAAACTTTTTCCTTCATATTCACCAAAAAATCGACTATCACCAAGTCTTATATGATAAATTTCATTGCCTGAACATTTTCCATATAAACGATGCCATTCTTCATCCGATGTTTGACCTTCTCTATTTTATTATTATTGATTGATTGGTTGGTTAATGCATCAATAACCGGAAAAAAACAAATGAAGTGAGGAAATGAATTTTTTTTTTTGTTTGCAATATATTAAATCACCACTTACTGTCCACGTGATGTATGCAATAATAATGTGACCAATGTAGATGTTCCTGGACATAGACAATTATTGGCCAATAATGCATATTTGAATTCATCTTCACAAACAACGTGTTCTGTGTTTGTGTTTATTTTTTCAATTTTGAACGAAAAAATTGATTTTAATCAAACAAAACAAAACAAAAAATGTGATTTGCATATTTACCGGCAAATGCAACATGAATTTTATTTTCCGGACGAAATATCTGTATATATTGTGGAACGTTTGGTGCAAAATCTCGTACTGCCCATGATCTTAGAATTGTATGTTGATCCTATATAATGATGTTTTTGAATCAAAAAAAAAGAAAACAAAACAAATATTCAAATTATAATTAAATCAATTATTAATCGATTAATTAGTGTACAGAAAAACATAGAAATAGACCGAGAATCTGACAAAAAAAATTGAAATAAATCAACAGAATATTCTCTTCTTTTCAGTCATCTTTTCATCTTCAACTAATTAACTATACAACAGTTTAATTGATACCCATTTTTTTTCATGCAGAATCAAATTATTATTTGTTTTCAATTAAATAGCTGAATACAGTCACACAAACAGAGAATCTCTGAATGTTAATATTGAATGAATATCAGTAGACCAAAAAAAAAAATTCATCAAAAAAAGCTAATCTTTTAATGGCTGTGCTATCAGGAATCAGTAGTATCATTTCAAATGGATTAAGAGCCTATAGGATGGAGTTATTTTTTTTTTTGGAGACAAAAATGAGGTCAAACTACAAATCAAAAGGTCTATTGTTGTTGTTGTTGATGTGAAACAGAATAAATAAACAGAATAAAAATTCAATAATTACAGCAGCCGATCGATCATTATAATTACGTGCAGCCAATATAAAACAGGCTTCAGCTGCATTCATTCTTGCCCTTGTTAGATCCGTATCTTTTAATGCTGAACCTTGTAGATAGATGACACGTTGTACCCACATTGGCATCTGTAATATCATTTTCATTGTTGTATCCAATTCACATGGTGATAATAGTACAACATAAAAATCCTATATATATTAACGAATTAAAAGTGGCAAGTTTTCAGTTTTACATTTCAAAAAAAAAAAAAAAAAAATTACATCATCAACAATAAATTTGTTACCTGTAATAAAGGATGAGCATAAAATTCATTCAAAAAATCCATCACAGTATCTGATCCAAGTGTTGTGGAACAAACGACAACATGTTTTTCTGTTTGAGCACGATGAGTACTAGGAAAAAAACAAAATAATAATGTATTGTGAATTATTATTTGTTTCAATTTATTATCATTTTTGTTTTATGACATGAATGTCATATTCTTTATTATATAATAAAGAATATTCTGTGTGTGTGTACATATATGTAAAACTAAATTAAGTTTGACAGGTTCTCAGTAATATACATAATTCTTCATTTTAGAAAAAAAAAAAATGAAATGAAATGTAATGAACCAAACCAAAACTGGAATAATTTTCATATTATTAGATTTTCTTTTTTTTGAGGGTTATTCATTCGATTGATAATTAGAAAATACCGGATAAGATATCAATCGTGATCGAATGATCTAGTGATCTAGGGTTCGGGGTTTTATGATGATCATATATAACAAAAAAAAAATTTGATATTCCAATTATTATTAAATAACTGATATGAATGTATGTGACGCCGCCCATCACACAGACAGAAAGAAACCCGGGTCTGAAGATTTCCATTCTAATGATAATAAATCTAGGTGGTCATAATTTGTTCGGAAAAAGAAAAAAATTTTTTTTTTTTTCGTTATCTTCCACTTTTTGTTCATTCATTTAGAATGAAAATTACCGGAATAAATGAACAAATGAATGAATGAATGAATGAATCTTGTAGAAAAAAAAAGAATAAAGTCACGAATCATCATCATCATGAATCAAAAAAAAAAAATTATTGAAGAAAAAGAAATATTAGATAGATAGATAGATAGGTAGTGTAACATAATAATGATCATAAACCAATTTTGTCTGTATGTTTTTCTTGATTCATTCACATATAAATAAAGATCGTTTTTGATATAAATTTCAAATGAAACGAAACGTGAATGAAAATTTAATAAGTTTCATTTGGTCAGTGTGTGTGTATGTGTATGTTTATGGGATCATCATCGATAATTTTTTCAGTTCTATTTTTCATGTAATCATAAAATTTGACATGAATTTCATTTATTTTCAATATCAAAATATACCCGATACATGAAAAAAAACACGGTTAAATTGTTTTTTGATGACTTATTCGTTTCAAAGGGAATTAGATGATGATAATGGTGATGATTCATCATCATATATCTCATCATCATAATGATTATTATCAAGAGAGATGATTGTGAAAAGGATGTCAAAGTCTGTGTGTGTGTGTGTGCGTGTGGAAGGAATTTCAATTTAAATGAAACGACAATGAACAAAAAAAAACATTTAATTTGGGCAATTCACTAATTCTAAATTGGTTGTTTTGTTTTTTTTTTTTGTTCAAATAGTCATTCAAATAGTTCAGTTACAACATACCTATAACTACCACCAAGTTTTTGTCGTTCCATCCATGTATATGCTAACTGTTCAAATTGTGTAGGCAATACAATCAAGGCAACACCAATCATAATGACCATAAACAGCTGTGATGGCCAACGATCGGGTTTATAATCACCATAACCAACGGTTGCAAATGTTACAACAACAAAATAAAGGCTTTCAAATAGATCAACATTACGTCCACCGGCACGTTGAAAATGTTGAAATCCACAAAGACTGAAACAAAAACCAAAAAAAAAAAAATTATTGAAAAATTTAAATTTCAGAAAAAAAAATTAAACAAACATTAAAATCATCGAGTAGCCAAAAAAATTACCTCGTAAATATAAGACATAATAATGTTGCCGAAAGAATCATTAAACGTTGTGATAGTGCCGATTGTGAACGTTGCATGGCACGATTCAAATCGTTCTGTGTGGTCAGTGTGTGTGTGTGTGGTTAGTTTTAAAGAGGCAAAAAAACAATAATTTTTTTTTTCGTTTAGTTCATGGATCAAATTATTAACGATGAAATTATGTTAATCAAAAAAAAAAAAAAAAAACAGAAAATGTAATGGTATGTTTAATGGTTCATTGCGAAAGAAAGAAGGAAAAAGAATTCCGAATCTAAGAAGAATCATAAACAAAACGTGAATGAAAAAAATCTAGATTCTAGATTCTAGAATGAATGAAAAAAATCGATTTATGAAAAAAAAAAATTTTCTCATGAATATTTCAGACACAGATCAAGTTCAAGTTTTAGAGATTTTCAAAACGATTTTATAAATCGGTTTTTCTCTCTCACTCTCTCTCCCTCATTTCTATCCTGCACTCCTCTCTGCCTAAATTAGCTCATAACCATTTTGGTTTTATTTATATATTTCAATATTCAATTACGTCGTATTTTGTTTGTTGTTGTGGAAATAAATTCTCCACGAACCATTTGGAACACACACACACACAAATTCCTGGAACGCACATCATACCAACATGTAGATTATTGATCTAATAAACTTTAATAGACTTTATTATGTCTAAATGGTTGGATTTTAAATTTTTTTTCAACAAAAAAAAAAACAGCGTGTGAGTGTGTATATGACTTACAAACATATTTTCCAACGTATATTTAGCCAGCCAACAATTTAAAAATGATGGAACAAAAAGATTACGTAAAGGTGAATAGAAAAACTGGTAAGAAAAAAAAACGAGAGAAAAAAAACAATGTGATTGGCATCAGTCAGGAGTAAAAAAAAAAGTTTTAAATATAGTAAAAAAATGTCGATGATGATGATGATGATGAAAAGTTTCGACACACACACACACACCAGACACACAGAATCAGTATCATCGTTGAGCTAAAATTTAGCTGCAGTTGACAAACAAATAAAATGCGAGTGACGAAAAAAAAAATTGTGATTTCATTATCACTGAATGAATGGTGAATGGTGAATTGAATCAACTTTTTTTTTGTTCCTTTTTGCTTCCGTTTTGTACTTTTACTGGTTTTTTTTCGGTACAGAAAAAAAAGTTTCATACAGAAAAAAAAGAACAGAAAAAACCCGATATAGAGTAAATATAAATGATATGACGGAATTTCTAATTTTCATTCAATTTGTTGTTTTTTTTCCTGATATTGCACAATAGAATTCTGATTCTGAATTCTTCAAAGAATTTGTTGATTTTTTTTTCATCTTCTTGTGGCTACAACGTGATTAATATATTTCAACCGAATGATGATGACGAAAAAAAATGGCAAAATAATGATAATGAAAATTTACATGATAAATAATAACCTGAATCTATCTAGAGATTAGGTGATTTGATTTTTTGATTATTAAATATGAAATGAAAATGAAACATGATCGATGCTATAATATATGAAAATATAAAATTACTACTACTTACCGATACAATGTATGGAAGATTAGTGATGATTTCAACGACAAATTGAAATGTAAAAATTGTTTGTAAACAATTTCCCTGTGTGTGTGTGCGTGTGTATATATATGAATATTCAGATTACAGAATTCAGGTCGTTACAGAATTTTTGTTTGAATAGAAAATAATGATCAGGAACAGCATGAAAAAATGAAAAAATGAGAAAAAAAAAGAAAATGAAATACCATTAGTGATTTTTTTTCAATATTTTCTGTTCGTATTTGTTAAATTTCCTGTATTATGATTAAAAGAAAAAAAATTCTTGTATTTTGATGCATTGTGTGTGTGTTTGTGTGTGTGGAAAATTCAATTTTTTCGTATAAATTGGAAATTTGAACCCATAGAGAACATGCACACACACACACACACACACAAAATGATAAATACTGCCATTTTTTGACAGCAAATTGCCAATGATGCAAATAATTATGCCATGACCTGAAGAATTTCTTATTTTTTCTTTCGGTTTCATGGTTCGTGCATTGGGTTCAATATAGATGGTGATGATGATGATGATTCTGAATGATAATCATTTCAAAAAGATGATGTAATGAGAATATTCAGTGTTTTGTGTAGTGAACAAACAAAGTAGTGAGAGAAAAAAATTAAATCAATTCTGTCAACTTGATTACAATGATGATGATGATGATGATGAAGGTGAGAAAATTATTTTATTCCTCTCTGTTGCTTTGTTAATGTGATGACAACTTTGAATTTTCGTAATTTTATTCCTGTGTTGTTGTTGTTGTTGTCGTCGTTGTTGCATACACAATTGAACACGTTGCATAATTTGCATAAAAATAAAAGAAAACTTTCTTCTACTTCTTTTGTTTTGATTGCAATTCAAAGAAATCAGAAAAAAAATCACGAATCATCACTCACCTTGTTGCTTAGATAAGCTAATAATAAGGCCTCCGTAAAGCACATCATTGATATAATTGACTGTTTGTTTTTCATTTCGTTTCGTTTTTCGTTTTTTTTTTGATGAATGAAGGATATGTGTGTGATGTGTGGAAAATTTTTTTTTAGATTCAGCAAAACCAAAAAAAAAATTGTTGTTGCAAGCAAAATTGCAATGAAAAAAGCATTCGAAATGAATTGAAAGTAATTAATTTATTTGAAAAAAATGAATGGAGGAATGAATGAAAATTAGATCAAGACGGGTAATAAAAAATATCTGCACATACCTGTAAAAACCAAACCCCAAATGATCTGTCCACCCAGATTATGGCACGCCTAGAACAAGAATAGTGATAAACCATTATCATTTTAAATTGTCACACATGAATATGGTTTTCATCAGTGACTAACCCCCCACTATCACCCCAAAATAAAAAAAAAGACATACCAATTTAATGGTGCCATCTGTGCAGAAACATTGACTGGAAGCCATCGATTATCATACATACGACAATCATACATTGAATTATAATTTGGTGATGTTTGATTTGTTAGATCCGGTGGTGGACATCCATGGCTATATATATATACATGGTGTAGAAAAAAAATGAAAATTAGCCAGAAATTAACCAGAATTTTGTGACACAACAACAACAACAACATTAATAATAATAATAATAAAATGAAATGGAATAAAGAGAAAAATGCCTGAAAGAAAAATAATTCCTATACAGAATAATTTGCCTGCCGAGAAAGAATTATGATAAGCATCCCTAGTTTGACATCCATAAAAAAGATAGAGATACAGAAACAGAGAGAAACATTAATAATTTCATTACTTTCAACTTTTGTTTCTGGTTTCATATTTTTATACTTGTGTACTTGAAATTCTTTGAAAACAAGACAACAAAAAAAAATAAATAAATAACCTCCTGAATATATCTGTATTTAGAATGAAAAAACAAACAAACAAACAAAAAAATGTGTAATAATAATATTATTAATAATATCCAGAAAAAAAAGACATCAACATGAATATGATGATGATGATGATGATGACTTTATATATTCAAACACATAATCTAATTACAATGATAATGATAATGATGATGATGATGGCTTTTAATGGTTTCTGCTTAATACTTGTTTTTCACAAAATAAATAATTGATGATTAAATGAAATGGAAATGAAATAAAAAAAACAAAAACAACACACAAAAAGAAACTTGGACATTGGAGAATTGTATCGAGAGAGAGAAACAATTAATCGATTAATTAATAATCAAAGTTGATAATGATAAAATATTTGGTATTGACAAAATCTATATATATATGGAGGTTTTGATTTTTCTGTTTGTGTGTGTGGGTGTGTGTGTGTGTGTCTTTGGGCATTTTTTTTTTCATCTCTGTTTATGATCAAGTCTCAAGTTTTTTTTTCTATATTATATTGCTGCCTGTCTCAAAAATGTCAAATGTGTGAAAATAAAAAAACAACAACAACAACTGAATAACAACAAAAATGAAAATGAAAATTTTGAAAAAAAAACAACAACAACAACAAACAAACCAATTTGCCAACAATGGTCCAGCATCGAATATCACTCGTACAATGTAGAATAAACATGTCAACAATTTCAATACGGTTTTAATGATTCGTATTTGAAGGCCTAGATGAGAATGGTGAAAATGGAAAAAAAACAGAAAACAAAAAACAAAAATTTGACAGATTTTTCATTTCAACAGAAAAAAAACAATGAATAAATGAATGAAGATGACAACCAGACCAGAAAAATGAAAAAAAAAAAAAAAAACATAAAAGGAAATTTGGATCGAAAAAAAAAATTTTTTTTCTTTTTCATTCACCACATGAACAGAGAAAACTTACTTGTACGTTGATTTTTGATGAAAAATACATGTAATTTTTCTTTGATCGTATTTTCATTTTCATAAAATTCCACACGAATCCTTTTGGAGGCAAAAAAAAAATGAGAAAAAAGACAAGACAAAATTAGAAATTTTTTTCCTGTGTGTGTAATGGTGTTGTATTGGTAAATGGATGATATAAAGTCAAGTAAAGTTTTTTAGAAACAAACAGAAAAAAAAGCAAAAAAACATTGTGATGAGTGGTGAAAATAAAAAAAAAAATGCTTAGTCATCTATAAATACCGAGCAAAAAAAAACAAAAATCTGGAGTATATAAGATGACAACCTCTGACATGAAAAAAAAACGAACGAACGAACGAACGCACACAGATACCTTGACAAGTTTGAATACACAAACAGAAAAAACATGTGGATTTTGATTTATGGATTTTCATCATCAACATCATCATCATCATCATCATCATTTTGAAACTTTACAGAACAAATGAAAAATGTATTAAATTCTCATGTAATGTAAAATTTTTTTAAAAAACAAAAGTTTAAAGAAAGAAAAAAAAACAAAATGACCAATGATCATCATGTTTTTTTTTTGTTCTCTGTAAAGTTCAACATCAATATATACCCTGTTTTCAAAGGTTTAACACAAACAAACAAACAAACAAAAATCTTCTTGTCAGACATATAAATACAATAGTGATCATCATCAATCATCATTCGATTCAAGTTTAGTTTAGATTCTTTAAAATTCTTTGCTGTTGATGTTTGTTGAAAACGGAAACACACGCACACGCACTTGAAATATTTCAATACAAGAATATTCCATCAATTCTTTGGACATTTTTGAATGAATATGATCAAAGAATCGTAGTGAAAAAAACAAACAAACAAACAGAATTACTAAATGTCAAAATGATAGTGGTGATGACAATATATTCTGGGATGTTTTTGAATAATAAAAATGTTTCTGTGTGTGTGAATGGAACAACATTGGTAAATAATGTACTTTTTATTGATGATTAAATCATGCGAAAAAAAAAAAACTGCCCCATAAATCGATTAGAACACAGGTGTGTTTGTGTGTGTGTGTGAAAAAAATGATAAAATACATTTACAACTAACTGATGATTGATAATGGAACTAGAATAGAAAATAGAATCGAAAACGAAAACGAAAAAAAAAAAATCATCACCAAGCATCATCAAACATATTTTAGGATCGATATTTCGAAATACATTAAAGTTAAATGTTTTGCTATACTATATGATGTTACAAAGTCCATTTTTGATTCATTGAACCAAAAAATTAATCGAACGCACACACAAACACAGGGAAAAAAATTACTAAGGAGCTTATTTATAACCACCACCAATAACAAATTCAATTTATTGTTGCAAATCTTGAAACAACTTTTTGCCAGGCTCTCAATTATTTATTTGTTTTTGTTTGTTTTTTTTGCTTTCCATCAATCAATGGTAACAATCATTTCATCAAAATTTTTTTTTTTTTTTTTTTGATGATAATCATCATTTTTCATATTTAATATTGTGTAACATAAACCGGGAAAAAAATTCCACCATTTCGATTAATTTATAGATCGATTATGGTGGCAAATAAAAAAATTGGCATTTTTTTTCTCATTCTGGTGAATTATTATTATATGCAAAATTACGAACACGAATCGGGTGGAGCCAAGTGATTCTATTTGATTGATTACCATATTGTTGTTGTTGTTGTTGTTGTTGTGGAAAATGTGTGTGAATAGAAAAACATTTCCAACAACAATCATACAAAGCCCAAATCATCATCATCGTCATTTTTTTGTTGAATTTTAAGATTTTCTAATCCAGATAAATATTCAAAATATTTGAAAAAGCACCACATTCAAAATGGATGCCAAAATACTGCTGTTGAAATCGATTTTCGCAAGAAAGCGAAAAAGATTTTCATCATTTCAAAATTTTCAACAAAAAAAATTCATCAAGTAGTCTCGAGTAGATGATTTTTTTTTTGAACACTCACAAACACACACACACACAATAAAAATAACTTGATGGACAACAACAACAACAACAAAAAAAATTCCAATGAAATTCATTGTCATCTCAAGTATGTCATTTTTTGGATAAAGAAAACAAATAAACAAACACACAAAAATAACAACAGAATCAGAATCAGAATCAGCAGCAGCAGCAGCAACGAATAAAAAAATGTCAATAGCCCAGAAAAAAATTCCATCAAATCATCAGATTCAATTCATTCAACATTTCAACGTGAAATTCAAGAACTTTTTTTTTCTTTGATTCCTGGATAGAAAGTTTTTTTTTCATTATTACATCATTCATCATCATCATCATCATGGTTGGATATCAAATTGCCAAAAGGTATTCTGGTTGAATCAAAAATTGATTTTGATGAAAAAAAAGTAGCAAAAAGAAAAGAAAAAACATTGTAAAATTTGTAAATTTGAGCAGTCCAAAATGACTCACATATCAAATCACATTGATTGGTTTCATTTCATCAACAAAGATTAATTCTGGATAGAATCAGAATATTATTATTCTTGAAATCAATGTGCATGGATGTTTCTTGTGTTTGCCATTTGAACATGAAACAACAACGTTCATGTTCATGTTTGTTTTTTGTTTTTTGCAAAATGACATAACGTGACTATTTTACATTATTATGTGGAGTTTTTTTTTCTATTTTTAATTTCTTTTACTTTTGATTGAATTTATTGATTGATTTTTTTTCTGCTTCTCGCTGCTTTTTACTCGATTAATGTTTTTTTTGCATGTTCATTATGAAAAATTGAATTTTTTTTCCTATCTACTGGGTCCATATGTCAGGTTTGAATTGAATTAAAAAAGGAAAAAACACAAACATAGAAAATAGCAATACGTAAATCCTGAAATTCAATTAAGTCTAGGATGTAGGTGAAAAAAAAATGAATGAATGAATCTTGACAAATGTGTTTCCATAAAATATAAATTCAAACGACAAATAAACAAAGAAAAAATTTCGAATATTTGATGATGATGATAGTGAAAAAAAGAAACATTCAGATTGTTGGAATTTATTGTTGAAACAACAACAACAACAGCTCGTATTTATGCAGATTGTGTGAAAGATAAAAATCGCAGACACATAAACAGACATAAAAGTCAATTTTTTGTAGGCGAGGTTATTATCGTTATCAATTCAATTTTGAATATCCGGGCCAAAGAATCCAAACATTTGTGCTCTCATTCTGTCAACAATGACAATGATGATGGGCCATGCAAAGATTGGATTTGATGAATCAAGAATATTGCGTGTGTGTGTGTGTGTTCCGGAAAGCGGAAAATTTGTTTAACGTTCTCCATTTTTTTCCAGGTAAGAAGAAATTAAAATAAATGAATAAATGAACGAGGTAGAAAAAAATCCTAGAAAACCATAGTGGTATCAACCAGAGTATAAAGAAAATCATCAGATAAAATCAGTGGTGAACCAACAACAACAACAAAAAGTAATCATATGATATGACATGAATATTGACTTTTACGATTGTGTATGATGAATCTGTATATATGAATCTGAGATTCTAGATTCTAAGATTCTGATAATAATAATAATAAACTGATCTGATCTGATCTGATGTGATATGAATATAATATAACCATAAACTTTGAGTGAACTAAATTCTACTACACACAAAGAACAACTCAGACAAATGACAGAATTCAAATTTCAGAATATTCCATTGAAAAAAAACAACATCAAACATTGAGGATGATGGGGAAAATTTTTTTTTTCACTACTTTTTCAAATATTCAAAAAATTTGATTTCCAAACATAATTTATTTGAGTAAAAAAACAAACGAAATGAATAAAAAAAAATAAAGGTCGATGATATTTGTAACACAACCAAACAGAATTATTGACAAAACAAAACAAAACAAAAAAATTCACAGAATACAGAATCTTATTCTCATCTGGCATCTGGAAAACAATTCATTATGTAACACACACACACACACACACATATTGTTTTTATTATTATGGGTATTATTACAGCAACAATTTCTTTTTCTTTTTCTTTCTTTCTTTCTTTCAGTTTTTGTAGACGTTGTTATCATAGTCCATTATACATAATGTATCGTTGTGTGTGTGTGTGTGTGTGTAAATAAATAAATAAATAAATAAATGATTTGAATGCATATAAGCGTAAATAATCTCTATTGTTTTTTTTTGTTGTTGTTTCGTTTTGCTTTTGCTTTTGTTTTTGTTTTTTTTTTTTTTTTTTTTTTTGGAACCAAAAGATATATTGCCTCGGAAGTAGCTAGTGGTTCAGGGACTAGAAATGTACGTTTTTTTTTTTTTTTGCTAAGTTCTTGATGGAGCAAATGAGTGTGTGTTTCATAATAATGACGATGATGATAATGTGTGTATTGGGTTGTTGTTAGTATAAATCTAAAAGATATATACAAATAAACCGATAGGATAACAACAAGAAATACAAATAAATTACACATCATCATCATCATCATCATCAGCGACAGGAGAAAAAAAAATAAAGCAATGAAATGATCAATCAATAATCAATCAATATATATGTGAATGGATTTCTGTTTTGTTTTGTTTTATCATCAAATTAATAATGATGATAATCAAAAAATATATAAATACCATACAGATTCTGTGTTTATAATCAAGAATTGTGTAGAATGTGTCATTTTCATTCATTATATAAAAATAAAATTATCATCATTACAATTAACAGGAAAATTCTGGAATCGATATTAAGATTGTCATCAATTTTTTTTTCTATAGTGGAAATTATTCCACTAGAAAATACCACACACACACACACACACATAAGGGAATCATAATTTCATTGTAAGTGTGTGTGTGTGTGTGTGTGTACTTAACCGTAAATTTTCTGGGAAAAAAAATTGTTAGAAAATTTTTTTCTTTAACAACAACAACAACTTGCTGACTCAAAATTATGTAATCATCACCGAAAAAAAAAAATTAAATTCAAGAATGTGTGTGCGTGTTCATTGTAAATGTTTAAAAAGCTAATATAAAAAAAAATAATAAAT